GGAGTTTCAGGAATGATCACAAATCATCACACTATCACTTTTGTCCTTGTAATAACTTTATATCCTCTCATAATGTTTCCTGTCTTATGGATTATATTCTCTGTGAACAGATCTACAGGAATATATATAAATAATAAGATTAATGGGCTTCTGAAACAAATTTGTGAGTGACACACAGAAAAGCAAAAAAAAAATACTCAAATTTCTTATGAGGTTGACGTAACTGCTCTGACGATAGAATTTTAAAGCACCACCAGGTGAAGACATTTTCGTACTGTGCTTAATGCAAGGAATCTGCTTCATGCAACGACCGTGTATTCTAACAGTACACGATTGCTTTGGATCCTACTACACCGTCTCCACATAATAATATGCTTACTTCACCTTCCCTCTCTACGGCCCCACACTTGTCCCCGCAATTGTTATTGCTCTCTACACACTTATTTTCGCATAATTTGTATGCGCTTAATTTGTTGACTTTTATTGTTATTTATCGTGATGCCGGAGGAGAGCTCAAACAGCGGTGCTATGCAGCGTCCAACCTTCGCCTTTTCTTATGAAAATGTGTGTCTATGCAGCGCTCATACTCACGTTGCGTTGCGTTACCGTAATTTGGCACAACCAATTTGCGTTTTTTTTTTATTTTTTTTTTATTTTTTTTTTTTTGTTTAATTCATTTTTAAGGAGATTTTAATGTGTGGCAGCTTTAATCTGCGCCGTTCGCGCGCTGTTCCATTGTTGAAAATTAATAAATTTCCCACCTTTCCTACCTCCCAAATCATATTTTATTTACGGGTAATACGTATTTAATTGGTGTGAGGAGCTCTGAAGTGGAGTGCCTTAGTCTTAGTTTATTGAGCAGTTGCAATAATAAAAGTCCAGATTTTATGAGTCGGAATATTTAGTGATGCAGACGTCCGCACTTGGTAGCAGTGAAGCAGGAAATTAGATTTTAGTGGTGAAAAAGAAAAAAAAACAAAAACCTCTCAACGCACAAGAATTAACAAATTTATTCTTCTTAGGAGACCTCTACAAATATTTTGGAATTATCATAATTATTTTCTGTTATAAAAACTTATTTATGAAAAAAGATTTTAAAACCTGGTAGATTACTGAATATGAATTGATAAGAAGTTCTTTAAAAAGTGCAGGCTTACGGATTTTCAATCGTCTTTATGCTTCAGTTTACGAAGTTAAGCTGCAAAATAATGTCTAGAAGTGGAAACTGTGAGACGGATGTTAAAAACAGAGCTTGAACGTTGTTGTTTCGAAGATAAGCATAAGGCTTTGATGCGGCAACATTTAGCCAGGAATGCTGATGTTCGAACGGCACAGCTTCGAAATAGCCTCACAGCAATGGAAACAGTGTTACTGGTCAGAAAAAAAGGTGGGAGAAGACGTAGGCAGTTAATGCTTATGCCAATACTAGACAGCGCTGAATACCGCAACTAGTTCAAGAGGAGAACGAAAATCTGCAAGGGTCGTTTGATGAATCAGTGATTTTTTAACCTTTTTTTTTTCTTTTGTGCAAATAATAATTTCATTCAGGAACATAATGCCCCTGTGGATCGATACAATCAGTGCAACGCTTCTGCTTTTTATAATTCGATCTAAATAAAAGCTTTTCTCAAAGCTGTAAAAATAAGTGATTGCTTCATTTGACTCCAAGATCTTTCCTCCTAGACATTTCTTAAAATTATGGAAACGGAAGCAAGTCGTTGGGGACTAAAGCCGAACAAAATTATATTGATGCACCAGCGTGTGGGTAGAGCAAATTTTTCTTTGATTATTTTTAATTCGAATCAGTAATCCATCTAAAATATCTGACTAATGTTTACCTGTAATCCTCTTATCATTCGTTCCATTATTTTTCATATAATCGGTACTGGCAAAAATTTAAAAGAAGAATTTCGTTTTACCCTTTCCTATGTAATCTTCTATGGGAAGATACGACGGCTTACAACGACTGCTTACAGAAGGTTTCAATAACGTACTACACAAAGAGCTGATCTAGCCACCGATGCCCAGGGTATACTGTATTTATGGAGGGAACACTTCTCCAGTCTGCTGAATAGCAGTGAAAATGGAGTATCCGGAGATGGTGAACCCAAAACCCCAATCGATGACGATGGAAAAGGCGTGTGAGTAGCAATCGCCCGCTTGAAAACAACAATTCGGCTGGGGTTGCCGGCCTACCGGCAGAACTTTGCAGAATATGGTCGGACGAAAGCAAGCCCAACGATTGGAATTGAAGTGTGCTCTGCAGAGTCGAGTCTCAACAATAGCGGCATGAATTAATGCTTTCTCCGGCGAAGGATATGGGTCTGATAGTGAACGAGGGCGAGACGAAATATCTCCTATCAGCCACGTCACTGATGACAACCATAACTTTGAAGTCGTAGATATCTTCCTTACCTACAGAATTAACACCAACAACAATGTCTGTTAGAGATAAAAATTTTTCTTAAGATTAACGGTCCTCTACGAGTTAGTAAAGGCGAATATCGCAGGCGATGCCGATGTATGAGATATACGGGGGCATTGACACAGTTCAGCAAATCAAGAAATAGCACGACGCTGACTAGGTCATATGGATGGATAAAAATACTCCAGCTCTGAAAGTTTTCGTTACAGTAGCCGCTGGTGGAATTAGAGAAAGAGGAAGACCTTCACTCCGCTGAAAGAACTATGTAGAGAGGGGCATGGCTCTATTTGGTATATCTATATTCGACGGTGTCTATGCCATTACAGTAAGTAAGTAAGGCAATTGAGTCAACTTAACTTTGTTGGCATAGCGACTTGGCTTTCTTTGGTTCAGTTCTCGTTTAACTGGGGAAACTAAATCTTTTGATTGTTCCTTCAGTAGTGAAAGGGAGCAAAAATTCGAAATGACGATGGAACTCTTAGGCTGTGAACGATGTCAACTCTTCTTACGCAGAAGGATTTTCCATGCCTTTATAAATTGACTCGATATAATTGATCAACGATTCTTGGTCATTTTAACTTTCGTCCTCACCTTTGTTGATGTAACCACAAATGAACTAACTAAACCACTTTTTTAGCATTGAAGTGGCTGAGCTAGAGTCCTCATGGATAAGTCTTTTCAACACGGCAAGTTTAAATTTTTCTAACACCATAAATATCCCGTTTATGTGAAAGTGAAGGCTGAAATGTGTAAAGTGATCAAGAAAAAACTCAAAAAGACAGCCTGAAGAATTGTATCGAATTACTGCGCTCCAAATTCAAAAGTCACCAAACTGCCCTCCGAAAAAAGTTAATTTATAAGTCTTAAAGAAGGTCTGCATGAAATAGGTTAGACAAAATGATACCCCTCAGCGGTAATGATCAGAAACATTCAGTTCCAGGCATCTAGGAAAGGGTGTCGCATTTTTTTCTGTGAGACTGTATTATTGTCAAGTTGGAAGGGAATATTTTTATGTCTTATTAAACGGCGCCTACAGAGAGTTTTTTTGCCCCATCTAATTGGGGTGTGCTCACTAAATGGAGGTGAGCCGCTTCCAAATAGGCTGCGGACCTTCGTTTCTTGTCAGAAATACATTCAGGGGACTAGACATTTACTGACGTAGGGCGACCGCTATTGGAAAAATAAATTTTCGATAATTTTTGAAAGTTGGCCAAAACAAGACTCGAACCATGTCCTTCTGAATCATAGTACTCGCGCAACTATTACGGTCACCAGATTGTTGAATTTAAAAATATATTTGCTATTGGTTTGGGTTGAACTCGATTCTCGTGAGCCTCTAATAGCCTCAACGGCCATTTTTATAGCTCAAAATCTAAATTTTAGCCATTGTTTGCAACTAGATGTTAGATTCTTGAATGAAAAAAATTCCAAACGATAGTTATTTAGACGAAGGGCAGTTGTGTTAAAGTAGATCTTTAGAGGAACGTACTGAGTGCTACTTCCAACTACTTTTAGCAAATTAATGGAATGTTTATTTTGGCTAACTTATACTGGAACTTTAAGTGACTGGGCTTCAAGAATCTCTAACTGATTCATGAATCTAGAGACTGAGCAGCTTTGTTTAGGGTAGAGAGTCTTATTTACAGGAAAGTAAATTTAAGAGGGAAAGGTGAAGGAAATTATCAAATGAACAGTGGTTTCAGACTTCCAGTGTAACTAAATGCACAACCTAGATCGGGAATGAGTGAAGAGAGCGAAAATTCTCATTGAGTTAAGCGAGTGGAACTCACTCTCCCGCTTCACCAATTTTAACTATAAGTTCTCCAACGCTCACCCTGAGCTCCATCCGCTACATCTCCAATTTTTAATATCAAGTTCTTCCAAGACTCAAAGTCTGGCTGAATAACCCAACAGGAAAAGCATTTCTTTTTCGCAACACCCTTTTTAAGACCAAAGAATGATCTCTCTTCTTATACTAAGCTTTGACTAGTTCTCAGATTTACGCACCGACAATGTATTTCAGTCTTAACTTTTCATATCCAAACTCTTGGACATCCCACGAGTGGAGTAACAGATTTATAATTCTCCCCAACTAAAAATACTAAACTTCTGCCAGCTTTTCTATGAAAAGTTAACAAAATATTTAATCTCCTAGGACCATGTTGCGCTGATTAAACTTTCAACAAACAAAATCAACAATCGCACAGATAAAATACAAAATACGATTTGTAAATATGCAACGACGCCAATCAACAAAGCCTAGCCAATTGTATATACGCAGTGGACATGCCATCAGGGCTCGTTGCCTGCAACATGCCTCACTGCTTGGCAACGTAAACAAGAGCCGCCGTCCACCAACCATCCACCCAGCGACTGCCAACCGTCAACCACCTGCACAGATCCGCTCAGCGCGCACCGCATACGTTGCTTGGCAGCCAGCCGACTATTGCCGTTTACGCGCTTGTTGTTTATAAACAAACTCACCTGACAAGGCTTTTGCTTTTCAAATATTTTCAATTATTTCTCGTATTTTTCTAGACTCGCTGTCAATGGGCACTTCACATTTTGCCGTCATTCCATTTATTTAACTCGATTTCATATTTCTCCATCCCACTTTCACGCTGTGTGTGATGTCAGAAAAATATTGAAAAATATTTTATTTGCCTTCACGTAAAGACAAATAGAGAAAAATATATAAATATATTTGCAGCTGCAAAAATCTGCAACGTGCAATCGTGCGTCAAAACGAAAATAACGGTAACGATAGTGAAATAAACGAAGAAAAATCTGGAATATTGATAATACATGAAAAGCGGATAGTGAGAAGGAAAATAAAAAAAGAATCAACGGCCATTGTAAACCCCATCGGTAGGTCGAGGTGAAGACGACAGCGTCAGAAAGAGTACGGACAGGTGTCTTTTTTTGTTTTAATAAGAGGCTTTAACTGCGCATCATGAAGAAAATCATACAACCGGAGACGCGACCCTACTGTGTGCAACCGCGCAAAACGAAGCGCATATTAAATTTGAAAAGCTGCGAGACGCGCAAAAAGCGCTCCGATCCATCGACACCCGTGCGACGCAACATTGTCGACTGTCCCTTCTACACGTTCAAATACAAATTCGATGAGCTGCCGCTGGACCCGGCGAAGGCTTATATCGAAGAGAAAATTGGTGAGTTTTAAGAAACTTTATTTACATATTTTTTTTTTCATAATTTAATATTTTTATTTTCTGCCTTTTCCCACAGCTCACATGCAAGTTGATCAAATTGTGGGGCGTTGCAATAAGGAATTGGATTTTCATTTATATCACATGGACCACGTGAAGTGGCAGTATGAAGAGTGTGACGATGATAGTCTGCAGGAGTTGAAATTGGAGGATATTGTGATGCCACAAAAATTTGAAATGCTAAAGGACAAAAAGGAGCACAAATATTCATTCAATTCAAGGGGTGAGCAAAATAATGTAATAAGAATTTCTAATGGATATTTAGTCTACATATGAGCTTGGTGCTCCATAAATTTTGCTGGGGCATACTTCTCAACGATTCCTCACTTTCATGCATGAACTACTAACTTGGTTTTTGTCGACTGGGTTCTTTTGGAAAGTCTTTTCATGCAGCATTCCATACCTTGTTTCCCGGTTACCAAGACATAGAACGTGGAATGAGTTAGGGAATTGACTCAATGCCACCTTCATCTTCAAGGTTAAAAAAGGGTATTGTCCGACTCTGGAGCAAAAATTTGTTTTTTTATTCATCAAAACAGCACAACGTTGAGTCGCTACCCGTATGACCGTACGTTGCCCTATATTGGGTTGGAAAGTTTACGGTGTGTCATTTAACCGATCCTCCGTCTTATATAAGCTCGTTGCAAAAATTCATCGGTCGTACGGAGGCAACTTAGTTTATACTATGATCCCTCCATTTGTTGAAAAAACTGCAGGACGCACACCAAAAATTACGAGAAGAGCTCAGCCCCCTGCGGGTTGGAGGTTAAAGATTTTACCCGCGGTAAGGCATGCCTTCCCTCGACAATCGGGTCTTCACACCGGAACGACCCAGAATTTTATTCGGTCAAGGACTGTCATTCTCGCAAAATTCTCCAAGAAGTGCTTTGGGAAACATCTTTTTGGTTACAACAACAATAACAGAAGAGCTCAGCCGAAAATCAGCGGTTACAAAGTCTCCATTAAGAGACGAAAATTTGTGTATGCTTGCGAGTGCTTTCAATATTTCATCAGGGGATTGTGTTGGGTAATTGGTTGGTAGCCTCAGTCGACACTGTCCCATTTATTCTTTGTTCAACCATCATGGTTTGAGTTCTCTTTCACTATGCTACCTGACAAAGAAAAGTGTCAGTTATCGGTTCGCTGACAGTTCGCTCTACCTTAAGTATTGAATTCTTTCAACTGTTGCGGTGCTCCCTTGCGTTGCTTAATATTCGTTCAACCTTTACCCCGATAAATTAAATTTAAATAATGCGGCACCTACTACGAAATCTGGACCGGAATGTTCACAATAATGGTCGGCTTAATGGCCAAAACCATACACCCATCACCACTGAAATCTTACCTTAAATCTAAGTCCACCACTTCATGCCTCTTACCTAGCCATATCACGGAGGCGATTAGACCCGCTGGTTTCTCTATGTTTCTCCATCTTATCTGCCATCGGGCTGAGTATTACTTTAAACGCTGATTGGTTGTTCTCTTTTGAGATTCAGTATCAGTGTTTAGTCACTGACAACGACATAAAGAGGATATAACTCAATAGTCACTGGAGTTGCTTCTACCGATACCGTGGGGAAAGCGCAGCAAACATACAGGGTGCAGAGAGGGAACAAGCTCTGAGCATAGCATTCTCGTTCCAACGCTAAGTGTCATATCGTGGACTCAAAGAGGAGTATTGGATGATCGGGTCTATTCTGGACAATGATTACCGCTGCATTTAGTAGTGGTACTTCTGTCCGTTTCTGTGTGGCTTCAAATCTTCTACGGGGTGATTACCGCTTTACAATTTTCTGCATCGTTTAATACGTAGAAAGGGCGGTAAGCTGATGGCGTAGTCTTAGTAAGAGCGGTTTTTGAGATTGTCATATACTGGAATCGATTGTGTCCTATACGCGAACATGGTTACAGTCAACTGCTTGCTCCGGGAAAAATTTTTTTCTCCTTTGGATATTTCTTTTTGGGTTATTGCTTCGACTATCTCCCATACCAGGCCACAAGTGGAAAATAGTCTGGCAACAACATATACTTCTGAGCAGTTTTAGGAACTTGGGCTATATATATATATATATATAATTGGCGTTTTGTAACCGCTGAAACGGTTTTTGGCCGAGCTCCTCATCCAAATTGTGGTTTTGCGTCCACCTCCGAAGGGGTGATGGTTTTTTATGAGGAGCTTTTAATTTTTTTTTGAGTTGTGTTGCTCTTGGTTTTTTAATTCTTTAAGTACCAACTTGTGGACGAGTTCCTATGGAGGTCTAAAAATAATTTCCACTGGCCATAGCTCTCTGCTTGCTTTATTAATTTCTTTAGTATGCGTGAAATTACTGCTGTCGCCTGTTCGCTGACAAAGATGCGTGGCAAGATTATATTGAGCAGTATCAAGGATTTATTTGTCTATCCAAAGACTTTGGCATTTTGTTACTGCATTTTAATCGCATGCTCAGTAATTTTTTCTTGACTTCTGCAGGGGAGACTTAACTTTTACTTCAATTTTATCATTATCATTCATAATGCGCTTATTTTTTAAGAGAAATACCTTTTTTTGGCTTTCAAAACTTCCTTCTCACACAGATGCAATAGGTTAGTCCCTCTCTGAAAGCAAACAAAACAAATCTGGAAAGCTCATAGCAGATATATCCTTATTTCCTAGTTTCTTATTTTGGTTGTCATTCTTATGCATATTTCATTTTCATGCGCTGGGCTGCAAAACCGATTTTGACGACCGATAAATGGAAAAGTGTTTGATGGAACCAAAATAATCTGCGGAGGAACTTGTGTAAAAGAAAAGGCTTTAAGTTTACACACCATCTATGCAGTAGCCTACTAGTCCACTCGAATAGATTGGACTTCCTGTTTCTAGGCCAGAATTTAGATCAAATCCTTAATATCGTCAACTAAATTTAAAAACAGCGAACCGGAGTCCACATTTGAAATACATAGAAAATTCTAGGCTCAACGACCGTTCAAATGAATGACAACTTACATACGCATGTTCATAAATACACATTAAATTTTAAATATACAATTGCAATATTCGTAAATGCGAAAATACGAATATGTGTACGAATGTACATTAGTTTGGTTTGTATAAAAAGCGCATAAATGATGTAGTTGGACACTTTGAATGGCACTGTGACCAAATATCTCAATGGAATTGAGGACATTAAAATTATAAGTCTGTTGCAATAATACAAATTACAGCACAAGCATATGTATTGGTACATACGTACACTACATACATACACACATATATACATATGTATATATGTGCGTTCATGACTGGGAAATTCATGGCTCATAAAATTTCTATTTGCTGCTGGTGCCTACATACATACAATAATAGCAAGCAAGCAAATTTTTCGTTTTCACTTTTGCAAAGCAAAATCTCTCTTCCTCCATCTCTTCCCCCCTCTCTCTCTCTCTCTGCGGCACATATTTTGTACATTTGCTTTTAAATAATTTATATGGTCAAAGCATTGCGATAATGGCGATAAATACTTTTAATATGTATGTATGTAGGTATATGTACCGAAAGCTGCTTAGGTGCAAGTGTGTGTACTGTTTTTTTACTTGTGGTCACACAAGCATTGTAATACACATACATACGTAGAGCAGTATATTAATGCATTGAAGCGTCTATTACTTTCACTACACTTTCCTTGCGTATGCAAATCGATAAGGGCATTTACATAAAAATGTTATTTCAACTTGCCAATGGCCATAATGATGTCCACCGAGGCCGACTACTGATGATATTGGGCACGGCTTCGGCAATAGCAACCGCAGCAGCAGCAGCAGCAGCAAACTGCTTCACTTGTATGTCAAAAGTATGCCTGAAATGGCCTTTGGGAATTTTTCATGTTTTACATTCCTTTCACTACTTAAGTTTATACAGTGTTGGTCATAAACGTAGACACAAAGCTTAGTGAAAGTGTAACGGACATACGTATGTATAAACTAGCTGAGTTCTACAAATTTTTCTGTCTTTTATTATTATTTATTTTATATTATTATAAATACCTCAAAAAAGACAATCTGACGGCCAAAACTTCTTGTATACACTGCACACACCCATCGTGACTACTTATTTCACCAACGCTGTATTTCAAAGTAGACATCCCTTTACAAGTACGGGACAGTTTAGTGCGGATTAGGGCAGCACATGTGCGATAGTGCCGACCTCCTATGCTTCAAAAAAGTAAAAAACTGAAAAAATTGAAAGTTTGGGTCACCGTAGATATTGCCACGATAATGCCGCAAGTGTGTATGTGATTGCTTATCACGCATGTTTTTAAATACCCGGAAGGAAGCTTGGACATAATAATGCGTATACATAAATATATATTTAGATATGTAGATAAATGTTAGTCATTTCAACTTTCATGGCTTTACACAGTGTACACTAAAGAGCAGTCACACTTTCAATTGAGCGTCGACCTCGTATTACTTGTGAATAATTTGCTAATTTACATAATTCAGTGTTTAAAATTGAAAGTGTGATATTTATTAGTAGGAAAATGCATATTAGGAAAAATATCTCTTGAAAAATTTTCCTACTGTCAATTCACAAACAGTAGTTAGGAAAACATAGTTTCCAAATATCAAATTTGTTAGCATTTATATGCTTACTAAATACTTAAATAATTTGTTTCATTGTTAATAATAATTATATTTTAAATATAAACACTACACAATAAAAAAAATCTGGAATTTTGCACCTTTCATTCCAGCCTGCGATCAATTTCCATGGATTACAAAATGCTGGGAAAGGAGTAAGTAAAAGAGTATTAAAAATTCTACAGCTGGAGATGGAACGATTCTTTTTATAAACCCAATTCGTTTAATTACAATAACAATACTATACTAATGAAATAAAATTTTACGAACTCTCTTTAACGCTTTAACTATTGGGTTGCCCAAAAAGTAATTGCGGATTTTTCAAATAGTCGCCGTTGACAAATTTTTTCAACGGCTTGTGACTCTGTAATTGCATTCTTTCTTCTGTCAGTTATCAGCTGTTCAGAAAAAAAGTGCGCGAAATTTTGTTTATATTTGTTTGTTTGGCGTAAATTTTAATATGGAGCCCACAAAAGAGCATTTTCGTCATATTTTACTTTATTATTTCCGTAAAGGAAAAAACGCGGAGCAGGTTGCTAAAAAGTTACGAGATGTGTATGGTGATGAAGCCTTAAAAGGAAGACAGTGTCAAAATTGGTTTCGCAAATTCCGTTCTGGAGATTTTTCACTTAAAGATGAGCCACGTTCAGGTCGGCCAAATGAAGTTGATGATGACCAAATCAAAGCATTAATCGAATTGGATCGTCATGTAACTGAGCGTGAGATAGGAGAGAAGTTAAATATACCAAAATCAACCGTTCATTATCACATAAAAAGTCTTGGACTGGTGAAAAAGCTTGATATTTGGGTACCACATGTATTGAAAGAAATTCATTTAACACACCGAATCAACGCTTGTGATATGCACCTTAAACGCAATGAATTCGATCCGTTTTTAAAACGAATCATAACTGGAGATGAAAAATGGATTGTTTACAACAACGTTAGTCGAAAACGATCATGGTCCAAGCATGGTGAACCAGCTCAAACCACTTCAAAGGCTGATATCCACCAAAAGAAGGTTATGCTGTCTGTTTGGTGGGATTGGAAGGGTGTCGTATATTTTGAGCTGCTTCCAAGGAACCAAACGATTAATTCGGATGTTTACTGTCAACAATTGGACAAATTGAATACAGCCATCAAGGAGAAGCGACCAGAATTGGTCAATCGTAAAGGTGTCATATTCCACCAGGACAACGCTAGACCGCACACATCTTTGGTCACTCGCCAAAAACTGAGTGAGCTTGGCTGGGAACTTTTGATGCATCCACCATATAGCCCTGACCTTGCACCATCAGACTACCATTTATTTCGATCTTTGCAGAACTCCTTAAATGGTAAAACTTTCGTTTTTTGCAGATAAAGGCCAGAAGTTCTATCAGCGTGGAATAATAAATTTGCCAGGAAGATGGCAAAAGGTTATCGAAAATAATGGCAATTATATATATGATTAAAGTTCCTTCTAAGTTTTATAAAAAATGCATTTACTTTTAAAAAATCCACAATTACTTTTTGGGCAACCCAATACATTCAAATCAAAAACAAAATAGCTTCGATGAACATAAAACATAAAATTGTTCCAAAGCTTTCAAACTGTTAACGCAACTATTTTATACACGTTGAGCAGCAAACACAAAATTACACTTTCATGCTGCAATTTAAACAGCTATATTTTAGGTTTCATAACTCATATTAAAAAAATTAAGTAATACATTTTGGCAACTCCTGAAAATATGCAATTTGATTTTTAAGTTTCTCACTCACAACGTTTTAGCGACAAAGTCACAACTGCCATCCAGCGAATTTCAGTTGCTTTAATTTCTTTTTAAATTTTTCGAATTTCTACGCGAAATTAAATGCCGCACAACTATATCACTAATTTACACTTAACTCTTGCTACTTAAATAGTTTTATAACAACAAATTTAGGTTGTTTACTACATCTATAATATTTACGATTCAAGAATTTTCGCTAAACTGTCAAACGCTCGACGGAAATATGCGCATACCGTTCAAATAGCGGCGGAAATTTGACAGAAAACACAGGGCGCGCCTAATTGTAATGAAACTGAAATTTTATTTAAATTAGTTATGTTCAGAAACGGAATCAGGGTGCTGTGAATTCATTTAAGTTTTTTTGAATAAATTAAATTTCAAAATCGAAAAATCGTGTTAGGTTAGTAATTTGCAAAAAGTAGAAAATAATTTTTTGCTTTTACGTTAGTAAAATTTTCAAATAAATAATATTATTATCCTTTGTCATCATTCCACCTGACGAAATTTTTTTTTTTTCATTCTCTATTTGAAAAGTAAAAAGGTTTATAGTATAGATGGTTATACCAAGAGCGAAAATATGTGTCTAATAATGAAGTTGGTTCAATTTTATGGGCTGCCGAAGATTTTAAAATAGTTTTCCATTAGTTTATCTATAAAGCAACGAAAAATTTTGACTATAAAATTCTAAAAACTTGCATTAAGAAATTTTTAAATTAATAACCATCTCAATTAAAACATCGTGAATAGTTTTATGTCGAATAAATTCATTTTAATATTCAACAATTTTTAAATTATAAAAATTAATAGAAATTAAAAAAAATCTATAGCCAGCGACTATAATTTTGCTTTCTTCTGTATGAGATAATTTTTCCAATAATCATTTTACTAGGATTCCAAGAAATAATTTTTTTTGATAATATATATTGTATATCAAATCTGGACCACTGTTTATATGACGAAATTGGTTCGGTGACGTCAACGGTTGCCGTTACCTTGCTTACAGAATGCAAACCTTGGAAAAGTAGCATATATATGAATTGAGAAAATTTTAAAGATTCTTGAAATATTTTAATAAAAAAGTTACTATGTTGGGAGCAAACTCTTTGCCGGCATTGCTAGTAACCTTAAAACTATACTATAGCAAGATACTAATCATTGAAGACTCACAAAATTGTTATTATTTTCCAATAATACTTAGCAGTTTTCAAATATTAAATTTTTCTCTCATGTTTACTTCACCAACACTGCAATGTTAATGTAAACATGGGCTAACATTTTCCCATTTGAGACTAACAGAGCATAAACTAATTTTGTTTATTCATACTATAATTCTTATTAATTTTTGTTTGGAATAAATTAAAAATCAAAAAAAAAACAAAAAAAAAAGATTTTTACACATCCGCACATGCATATGTATTTGTAAAAGAAAACTTTAACATATCATAAAATAGGGCTGTTAACTTACTCTGTGTATTGTTAACAGTTTGAAAGCTGAGGCAACTACACTCCGCCATTAACTCAATTTGCTCAGGCCATATCAGCTATTAAACAATATATTGAATGAATTATTTGAACTCATTTTTAAAATAAATATAATGACTTAATTAAACAGAATTTTTATAAATAATCGTTTATAACTATGAAACTCTTCCATTTGCCAGTGGAGCCCAGCGAAGAGACGGTGTTTCGTGTCACCAGCGAATTACTGCAAATCTATTGTGCTCGTCGTGTGCGCATCTTTTATCCAGATATGCGCACAAAAAGTCAACTGTACACAAATGAGTTGAAGAAAATGCATGGCAGTCCGTCGGATGTTATTGGTAAGCAAATAAAAATTGCCAAACTTTTGATATACTATGAGTATATTAAATATGTTCTTTTTCTTTTCCCACAGGCGGCCTACACACGCAAACAGCGCAACATTTGCGCACTGAAGCTTTGCGACGACCACGGAAAACGCCGCCATTCACACCTGGCGATCATTATGCGCTGCGTACGCCTGAAGGTATGCAACAAAAGTCAAATAGGAAATAAAATGGAAGAAAAAAATGTAAAAGAAATAAAAAAATATCTGTGTGTATGCATGCATAAGTGGCACTCCTTTATTTACCTGTATTCGCAAGCTGCTTAGACACTTTTATACTTTTGCATTTTTCATGCGAAACTTTGCCAGCTGCTGCATGCACTACTACACTGCCAACAATTGTGTTGATTCCTTTTAATTTTCATTGCACTTTATGTACTTGTATATGTAGACATGTACATACTGTACGTATATGTATAAATTTTCGTTGCATGTGGCACGCGCTTGCAGAATGCCGGATCGAGCTAATACGCATGGGTAAAGTTATAGACAAATTAATAGAGCCAACATTGCGACGTGCCAGAGAGAACTTAAAACGCCAGGCAGTGGAGAGTGAGGGTGCGGCAGCAGCAACGACAACAACAGCAAAAGCCACCGCCAAGACAGTCGCCAAGTCGAAGAAAAAGTCCAGCACAAGTGAGCGGGGCGCTGGAGATGCTTGCACCGAAAAGCAGGTGAATCGCATAATAAAAAAGGTGAGTAGCGATGGGGCGTAGTGCAAGAATACAAATATTTGCACAAAACAAAAGCAGCACGCGAAGAAAAATGAAAGAACAAAACAGAAAAAAAATGTAGAAAGAAGCTTCGAAAGTGCTGAAGTTATAAGTCGTTTGGCATGCAAACAACAAACAACAAAAAATGTTGAAAGATAAAATAAAGGAAAAACTTATAATAATATAACTGTACTCTTAAGAAGAAAGTTAAAGGAATAGACAAAGGTTGAAGGTTCGGAGCACTGTCACGCACTCGCCAACCGACTCATTTTGCACACAACAAAAAAACTACAAAAAAATACACAGTTATTGTTGGTTTAATTTTTGTTCATAACTGTTTATAACTACTAATTTTATTTCTTTGCCTCCATATTTATGCTTATTATTATCCTTTCTTTTCCTTCTAGCAAAAGAAGCAGCCCTGCAATCGTCGCGATGTGTTGCTGCGCCCCGCAGATTTCTCCACCTTCGAAGACTACATGAAGTGCATGAAACGCTTTGAGCGCGAGTAAGTACGGCGTGGCATGCTTAAAGTCAGCAACACATAATACATAAAATGGCCGCATAAAAACGCCGCAAAACATTTGTGTGCGACAGAATTTACGTAAAAAAAAGAAGAAAAACAAACACAAAAAAATCACAAAATGTTGAATGCACCCACGCATAACTTGTATTGCAGCTTAAGCCCATGACTATGAGTTGCGCCATTGACGAGCATTTGCCTGCAGCTATGTACGGGTGCATGTGTGCGTTGGGCAGGAGTATAAGCGTATCTATTTGTTGAACCACAACCGGGTGCATGTGCAACATTACCCTTGCAAAGCTCTTAATTAATACAAGGCTTGTCGTTGCACATGTAGCCCACGGCTCAATGGCTGACTGCTATGTATTGCCGCGAACTAAGACACGTCAAGGCTCATTAAAATAAATTAACAAGAATTTATATGCTCACACATACATATGTATGTACATAGTTGTATATGCATTTTTTGCCGCAGTTGGGGTTATACAATTGCAATATTTTATTTAAAATCCGCATAGTTAAAAAATGTATTATGCACATTTTTATTTATGCACTACATTTTATTATTCATGTCATTCATTTAATAACTATCGCCCTTTTTACAGACAATTCAAGTACATCGAAGGTCTACAACCTGTCGAACCGGAGGAACAAAAAGCAGTCATACTCGCACGTTATGAACAGAAATTGAAAGAGGCTGAACAGAAATTTACGCTAAAAATTGAAAAGAGATACAAATATCTCATGAAAAGTGTACGTATGTTTGGCAAAAACAAAAAAAAACAAAAAAATTAAAAGTTAAATCAAAGAAACTATAAAATACAACTAACGTTCAAGTGCAGGACAGGTGAAACATTAAAAACCTGCCCAAACAGATTCTTACAGTTAGGGTGATGTATAATTGGCATTTCGTTCTGTTATAATGAAGTTATCGAAAAGAAATAAAACTGTTAATGTTAATTTTGCAATGGCTGCCTGTTATGATATAAAAAACACCCTCGAATTTTAACGTTTAACATTATCTGTTAACGATTTAGCAATATCTGTTAACGATTTAACATTATCTGTAAACGATTTAACATTATCTGTAAACGATTTAGCAATATCTGTTAACGATTTAACATTAACTGTTAACGATTTAACATTATCTGTAAACGATTTAACATTATCTGTAAACGATTTAACATTATCTGTTAACGATTTAACATTATCTGTCAACGATTTAACATTATCTGTTAACGATATAGCAACGACAGCTCTTCGTTTCGGTAGAAAACAAAATCAAATTTATTTTGATAACTGCTTTAACGATAACACTTCTATATGCTTTAATCGAAACTATTGAAATTTTTTGTTTACCGTTACTATGCAGCGTTAATTTGCTGCAATCTGAACTTGAAACTTCATTTCAGTAAGTAAAATAACACAATAATATCAGTGAAAAATTCAAAAGTGGAATATTTATAATAAATAAAACAATTTCAACTATTAATAACTAAAATATTATTTTTAAACTATCTCAAAAATATTTCGACAAGTAAAATGTCATCCATTATTTTTGCTATAGATGACTTTTTAGGAATAGAGTTGTCCACTTAACTCAAAAATGTTTGAGAGCAGGCCAATGGTGGACACCAGCAAATAGATAAATTTGATATTCTAAAATTTTTTTTGATCAAAGCAAAAACACAAGTCAGGCAACAGAAAATATTATTGGTAGTACTGGAAATGTTCCAAACATTTTAACTGCCAATACGCACAATTTTGGTTCCATTAACTTCGTTCCGGTAATTTTGATGTAAAAGAGGATCCACGTTGTGCAATTGTTGAAAATTTCAATAAAATTGCGGAAATCGTCGAGTCAGATCGTCCTGAGAGCACTGTTTCGATTGGTCAAAAAAAACAGTCAGGAACCACTTGAAAAAGGTTGGATACACAAAGACGATCGATGTATCGGTGCCACATGAGCTAACGAGAAAACAGCCTGATGGACTAAGTCTCCACCTGCTAATCGCTGCTTAAACGTGGATGAAAGGTGGTTTACTAACAGCAACGTCAAATGAAAACGATAGTGTTCGAAAGGCAGTGAGGCGGCATAAATGGTATCCAAGCCCGAATTGACGGCCAGGAAATTTTTGCTTTGTGTTTGGGAGAATTGGCAAGGAATCCTCTACTATAAGCTACATTTAGCATTAGCAATTGGACCGACTAAAGGAAGCAATCACACAGAAGCACACAATTTTGACCAAAAAGTGTGGAATCGATGATGTAGTGATGTTCTCATGCATCCACCTAGAACCATGTGAGTATCATCTGTACCTGTCTATGGCTAATGATTTGACTGGTAATCAATTGGCCTCAAGCGAAGCCTGTGAAAATCGTTTATTTTCGTTTTTTCCCAATAGAGACCAGGGTTTCTGCGAGAGCGGTATAATGATATTTCAGGTTATAAATCGGATAATTCTAACTATAATAAAGCCTTCAATTTAATGCAAATTAATGTACTACTTTTCTCTAGACCGTTATTAAAAACGTCCAATGCAATTTTGTAGCTTGCCCCTTGTACAAAGACGTATGTACAAGGATACAAGTACAATATTTTTTTTTTTTTGGTGTAGTAATTTTTGTTATAAAATGGAAAGAAATAATGGAAGTAATATTTTTTATGCACTTAAGTTAAATTTGACCAGCGCGTCATATACTTCAGTCACACAAGCAAACTACATACAAACATATGTCCTTCAAGAGCAATTTATGTTGCTAAACGCGAGCGTGTTAAAGTGAAATTCAGCCAGTCATGTTGTTAATTAGCAAAGTGCAAATTTTGAATGGAGGAAAATATATATGAAAACAAACAAAATTTATGAAAAGTAATTGTGCACCTTAAGTTTTTTTTCAATGAGATACATTTATTATTAATTTAAATAATAATTTATTAAAAAAAATGGTCCAAATATTGTCGAAAAAATTTAAAAAAATTACTTACTTAAAAAATTGCATTTTTTTTTACAAATTCCATTTTCTTTTTATTAAATAAAAAAAAAACATTTTATTAACATAAGCTGTCCAAATATTGTCAATTCACTTATTTGGCTTATAGAGAAACACAAAATTAAGTAATAAAACTTAATATAATATTATTAATTGAAGGAATTTTTATTTTTAATTATTTTTTATATTTTTCTTACTTGCTTTATTTATTTTTCTTGTACTAAAATCAAAAATATTTACAAAACTATAAATATATAATTTTTAATTGCCTTGAATAATTATTCCCAGAAAAGCATAAACCTATTCTGTATTTCATAGCACTGTTTATCATTTAAAAGCACCTCAAATACATGCCTCTCCTCAGCAAGAGATGGAATGAAACAAAAAAAAAATATATAAAGTTAAAGGTATTAAAATAAAATAAAAAGTAAAAAAAGTATTTATTATTTTATATATTTATATATTATATAAATACTCTGTAATAAGTAAATGGCCAACGTAAATTAACAAATACAGAGAATAATAATGAAATGAAAGAAAAACCACTTTTCACGCATCATCGCCTCGACAACCTGGTGGCTGTTGGACGCTTGGTTAGCTGTTTGGCATTAAATGAAGTGGATTGAGCAGTTGATTGTTGGTTTAACTTTTATTTCATTCCTTTATTATATTTTTTTTTTTTTTGTTTTTTTTGCATCGTAAAAAATCTTTATGAGCTAATATAAAAGATATTAACTTCACGCTAGCCATAAAATATCAGCGCAAATACTTTTATTTTATATTTGTATGTATGAATTTTTAAAGTTTAAGTAAAATTAAAAACTTATACGTATAACCGAAAATTTTCATTTGAATGTGAATATATATACATAAATGTTGATTATTCTTAGCACATTCCGTAATTATTGCGCCCAAGAGTATGCAATATATTTTTTATTACATAAGCAGCAGAGGTTAAACACGTTATAGTTACATAAATTCATAGTTATTTGCATCAAATTAACATAATTATATTTAATTTGGAAAATAATTGTTCAGTCGAAACATAAATAAATACGAAAAATTATAAAATATAAACAGAAACTTGTTGTGGTGTTCAACCCATAAAAATCCACTTCAGCGGCACAGTCTTAGCAAAAGGGAACTCAAATTATATATCGCATTTAACTTAAGATCTATAATTTTAATAAACTATAGTTAACTTGACGTTATATTTTTCATTTTCTTCTTTATATTGCTTTATTCTCTATTACCAATTTTTTTTTTTATTTCATTGTATTCACTTAATCGAACTTTTTCCTATTCAGCAATTTTTTATAACCACTTTTGTTTTCATTTGTTATTTTTATTTGCTTACATTTTTTCTTTTCAGATCAGCGCTTTGAGTCTGGAAACATTTCCCTCACACTTGATTAAGAAAGTTTGGATAAAAATCGATCCGCGTAATACATTTTTACAGGAAATTCATAAGTTTATTTTAAAAGAGGAGGTAAGTTGCTAAAAGCAGATAATAGCACAATAGTGGCATAAATATTTGGGTAGGTATGAGCAAAAAAAATTTTAAGCTAAGTATAGTTTTATGGATGTTTTTGATTACTACTTTAATGAAATGAAAAAGCTTGTAAAGGAGGAATAAGAACAGAAAACCAAAAGTTATGTATTTCGGTGCAAAAAATAAAGATCGGGGTTCCCTCTCTTAACTTAATTATATAAATGTAAACTTTATTCCATTCCATTTTGTTCCATTGGCGGCCAGGATAACGTTTAGCATTGCTTACCGCCATTCGGAAAGCTCTTCGGTCGCCCCTCAGCATTTATTTTAATTTATTTTATTTTATTTTTATTTTTTTATTTTAATTTTATTTTCTTTTATTTTACTTTTTTTATTTTATTTCACTTTATTTTATTTGTATTTAATATAATTTAATTTAATTTAATTTTATTTAATTTAATTTTATTTTATTTTATTTTATTTTATTTTATTTTATTTTATTTTATTTTATTTTATTTTATTTTATTTTATTTNATTTAATTTAATTTAATTTAATTTAATTTAATTTAATTTAATTTAATTTAATTTAATTTAATTTAATTTAATTTAATTTAATTTAATTTAATTTAAATTAATTTAATTTAATTAAATTTAATTAAATTTAATTTAATTTAATTTTATTTTATTTTATATTATTTTATTTTATTTTATTTTATTTTATTTTTAAGCTTTTTTTATTTTATTATTTATTTTATAACTTTTCTGTTGGGCAGTGTACATTTACCCACTCCCATTCATACATATTTATAATCGTACTATCCTTTAATGTGCAGAAACTTTGGCCAGAAATTTATCCCGAGGTCATGCTCTTGGATTATCTCTTCAATGGCGAGCGGCAAATTAATGCTACTGTCGCCGTCTTAATTATATCGTGCATCATAGATCTACAAGAGGATTTTCGGTATTACGTGAAACGTAACTTTCTACGCTATCTACTCAAGTAAGTAAATTAGAAGAGAGTGTCTTAATACAATACAAACTACACAGTTAAACACACATACGTGTATACATAACTATGTATAAGGAAATTGCATGCATGTGGTGATAAAGAAAATTAGTTATAAAGTAGTTCATTAAATTGTGCCGACATATAAGAATAAGAGGAAGAAAAAAAAACTATCTGAAACACTAAAAGCACACAAATAAGAGTGCAGCAAGCTGTGTGCATACATATACACCCATAAAAGTAATTAAGCTTAGTGGTGAAATTGGGACTTATGCCAAATGACCGATGAGCTACTTAACTGAGTAGTTTTGCTTGGCCAAAATGTGTTAAGTTTCAGTGTTTGGCCTTTTCCAAAAGCTTGCCAACTCCAGTGGCCAACAGTTTAATCAGCCACTAATAAACCGGTTGGATTTTTCTGGATTTTTTTGCTTTATCTACTTTTTGTGTATTTTTACTTTCCTTTCGTATGCTTTTCAGATCACCATTGGAGCGTAAACGTTTGCAATTGGAAATGGAGCCACCCGACTTTCCGCTGCTAATCATACGTGGTCCAGTGCCATACAAAGTGAATGTACAGTTAGCACGTAATCGTCTAGACCAACTTTTAATGGTTACACATCCAATTATACGGGCACTCAATCAGCTGTGGCATCAATTGTGAGTACCCAAGGTGGTGGTAGAGGAAATATAGTATTTTTTGATTGTTGTTTTAGAGATTAGCTAAGTGGGGTTTAAGTCTTTGCTATTAGGAACAGCAATGAAGTTTTTGCTCTCTCTGCACCCTCCCTCTCTCTCTATCTCTTTCTGTTAGGCACGGTTAGGACTTTTAAGAAAATGTTCATGCACTGGAAATGTTTCGTGTGGTTCCCAATATTCTTGGAACAAAAAAATTTATGTGATTAATAAAAAATATAGTATTTTTTGATTGTAGTTTTAGGGATTAGCTAAGTGGGGTTTAAGTCTTTGCTATAATGAACAGCAATGAAGTTTTTGCTCTTTCTGCACCCTCCCTCTCTCTCTATCTCTTTCTGTTAGGCACGGTTAGGACTTTTAAGAAAATGTTCATGCACTGGAAAAGTTTCGTGTGGTTCCCAATATTCTAGGAACAAAGAAAATATTGTGATTTATGCATGCGAGTAACAGATATTTGAGAAAAATTAATTTTGTATTATCTTAGCTAGCTGTGGGTAAGGGAGTTTACTTATTTTTATAGATTGATTTAGAGAACAGAATTGTTTTGAGTTGGAACTTTTTAGCTTCTTTTCCAACTTGATTTTAATTACTGAGAAATATACCACGTACATGGAGTATACTGATCTGACTTCCTGTGCAACGTGTTCTGTAATTGATTTTTCTCATACACAGATACAACGATCTAGTCGTCATAGATGTTTCGAAGATCTTTCTGCGTGATCAACCAATGACCGCGGATGAATTAATAAGTTTTGTTGATGACAGCTGTGAGGTGATACGTGACGTAAGCAACCAAACAAGTAATAAACTTTTTGTAAAACATTTTTCGAAACATTTTCTTACTCCAGTTACTACTAAACGACTGGCTACCTCGCTGCGCTGATTTGGTAGATGTTATGCGTCGCACCTGGAAGGATTTGGTGCCCATGAATCAGCGTTACGGTGGACGTGCGGCTGTTTTATTCAATTGTGTGCATGCGCTAATGTCACATCATTTGGAGGGTCTGATCACGCGCAGTATTTCTGTGCTCTACACGAACTTAAAGCGATATGAGGTGTGCAGTAATAAACGAAACAATAACAACGTCTGCATTTATTCTAAATTTGGTTTTCAGGAAGGCAACAATATTGAGCACTATCAAATGTACGACCAGAAGCTTAAACGACGTCCACTTATGACATTGATCTTCTCCGTTGTTGGTGCACACTTTGACGAGCGCACCGATGATCGTGATACCACCACACCGATCTACACGCATGATGAGGACGATGATGCTAGTCCGTTTTATCGACGTCCCAGTGTAGTCTTTGAGAGTGTTAGTATTCTTATCTTTTTATTTTTAATTAAGAAAACTTTCGAAATTTGTTTGTTGAATTTAGACGCCAACTGAATTGAATCCGGCTTGTGAATTTGTGCTAAAGCACGAAGGAAAATTCTTCGGCTATCCCTACATCAACGAACTGCCAGAATTGTATATTGATATCTTTAGGAAAATATTGCGTGTTGGCTATCATATACCACGTTTGGAGTATTTCATGTCAAGAGGTGAGTTCTTGTTTAATTTGGGTTGGTATTAAATTCACTACTCCTTGCAAGAGTTTACGATCTAAATCGCCTTTAAACACAGCTCAGCTGTCGTGAGTTCCGCTGTTTAAGTTTGTGACTTCTTAAAATTTGTTTAATATCTTTTCCTCTCTCTATCTCTCTCTCTCCCATAGATGAAAGCACGCTTGGCTACTTGCATGTTGTCGATGAGTCGCATTGCGATATGAAACGTTTATACAAAAATGTCACTCAAATTGTTGAGAACAATTGGAGTGGTCTCCGTGTGTATTTGTATCCAATATTCAAATATTATTATGCTTTATTCACGAAGAAAATGTTGCCAATTGTCGAAAAGTTGTTTACGCAAAACACCATTCCTGATTTGTTGGTAAGTACTTTTAATAAACTTTCGTAAATTGGGTATTTCTAACTCTATGGGTTCTGATCCACAAGTCTTTTCGACAGGATTGACCTTGTTCTTCTTAAACCTCGGAGACTCAGGCTATTGTAGTCGACTCCGCAATAGCACACCAATCATTACTTCGTCTCGTAGTTGGAAACTAAATGGAGACACCAAGTAAAATCAGGTCCTACTCAACTTGATCTGGAGTTTTCGCGTTTTCTCTATTTTCACCAGCGGATACTACATCAAATATTTTGAAAGCAAGAGAATTTTTTTTTCACCTGCATAGCATAATCCATCCGCCGTATTAAGCGTCTCTTACTATGGGTCATTGTGCAGCCGCTGATGTGCTTTTCGGCTCCCTCTATATGCTGGACCATACCAATGTTTTCGTAAATCACGTATAGCTTCTTCAGCTATGGTATTTGATGTTGCTTAAGCGTAGAAACCCATCTGCCTTCCTATTTTTTTCTCGATAACATCAACCAACTCTTAGATGTGGTCTACGCTTCTGCACCATATAGCTGGATGGAAATACTGAGCGATGGAGGAGACTGATTAGAATAGTTTAACAATACTACATTTGTTTAAATTAACTCGTTGAGGTGTCCCTATGTTTTCACGTAGGTAACGCTTTCGTCCTGATCGATAGTCAGTCACTTTCTATGCTTTGATAAGTAAGAACAAACCGTGAATACTAGTAACTGTAACGTGGCACAGCCACTAAAGGATAATATCCATGTCAACGTAGCAACGAATGGAAAATATTCCACTGATAATATTAAAAAGTGGCATGTTCAGCCAAGAAAAGGACGATGAAGGGAAAAGTACGCCAACGGTAAAAATTGAGATTCAAGGCTAATGGAGAGCATAGAGCATTGAGTATTGGCAGTGCCTATGCAAATTTCTCAAGGCATTAAAGAGAAATAATTTTTGAATATATTATATTCCATCAGAGTAGTTTTGATACCTCGGGCTCCCAATTAACGAGATCTAACTAATTTGTAAGCAAAGTTCTGGTAAAATAAGCGTCCTTTAATACCTTTAATATCCTTAAACATTTGAGATTTCGAAAATAAACGTAACTAAAGTGCATTTGAAGTAATTTTGTTTATGAAATTCAGTTTTATTATAAACTTTGAATTCTTTCATTATATGTGAAACACTACACTATTGAGAAAAAAATCCGACTCACGAATTGACGCAAGCTACGATCCCTTTGACGTAATTTTCGACCACTCTTTGGCACATATTGAACCGTAACTCAGACACAACTGGACGAATGTTGGTCTTCAAGTGCTCAAGAGCTAAATTTTCTTCCGCATAAACATGGTATTTCACTTAGTCTCACAAAAAGAAAGTCCCCCAGGTGTCAAATCGCACAGTTTTCGTGACCAAGACGAAAAAATTACGCAACCAATAAATTTCTCTGGCAACAAAGCCATATTCACTAGTGTTATATGGGGTTTGGCATGATATTGTTGAAGCCATATATTGTTCGAGTCAAGTCGATGCTCTGTAAGCTGGATTTCATATGGTTGCAGATGTAAATCCAAGTGCCAAATACGCCATAACGTGTCGTTAGATAATTCTAGCGCTTGAGGAAATCGAGAAACAGCAACTTTCGGGTCTTTGGCTATACTTTCACTTACAGTCGCGATATTTGAGGTGAGATAAGCACAACGATGATGCCTTGTGCTTACTATAACTTGAACCGATCCAATTGCTTCAAACTTCTTCACATTTTTACCAATTGCTTGATTCGTTGGAAGATTATGTGCACCATAATTTTCACTAAAAGCACTAAATGTGATTTGAATCACCAATGTGGTAGTAGGCTTCAACCATTTTAACGGCTATTAGGCGATTCATTTTCATAAATGCCTGATTTTGAACTAAAATAAAACATGTTTAGTTTAGTAGTTAAGTTTATGCGATGTTAGCACTGTATATTTGAACCCATGGAAATTGTGGATCTTGGCTTAGTTAACTTTCTGTTCAATTTGTAAAGTGAAATTCAGGGTGCATAGTGCTATTCAAGTCAGTACAGCGGAGAACATTTGCCAAATTATAATTATGTCCAGTGTAAGTAGTTTTTAATGCGAAAATTATATTTTTTAGGATTTAAGGTATTCCGATTTATTTTACACTATTCAACCATGCTCTTTGGGTCTGTTGGTATCAAGATAGCTTCATTTGACGAAGCTTACGATTTATACAGTTTAACATCATCACTTAATGTATGAAAATACTTTGAAAATTTTATTTCAACTGAAATATCGTTTAAAAATCATTAAAACAGCAACGGGCCTAGTTGGACATCGAATGAGAAAAAAAATATAAAACACAGCAAATGAACATGAACCACTCATTAATTTATAATTACTGCTGCATTTCAGCACTTCTTTGCGAGTATTAACTACCAACAATCCATTTAAAGAGTAGTTCAAAGAACCTTAATTGACTGCTACAGCATTTACCGTAATATGATTTGCGTTTGACTGCAAAATCACAGTGATTTAACATTTATACGTTTAACAGCGACTAACTACTTAGCGGAAATGACTGACGTTAATTACAATTTATTCAGAATATTAAACATTAAATTATCAAGTTTCAACAAATTTTTATTTTATTTTTCATTTTTCTGTCTTTTTTTTCTTTTTTTTGTGAACATTATTATGTTTTTTTTATTTTTTTTTAATTTTTTCTCAAACTGACACTGCAAATTTCTATAAATTGTTGTATAATGAGATTTTCCAAAAGATAACAAGATTGACGATAATGATAACGCTTATGATATTTTACTGCTGAACATATTGACAATGACTCGGTGATGAGCTCATTAAACATGATGCATGTTTGAGGAGTTTAAAAATAAACATATACACTCCTATATGTAGAAACATACAAAAATAAGTAAATGAAATATAATATGGTAAAAAAAAATTGAAAAAAAAATGTTCAACATGCCACAATATATATATAAATGCATATAATGTTTATACATATATATATGTAGATGTATAAATGTGTATATTGGCTATACATTTAATATGTATGCACGCATATATATTCATTCAACCACGTTGCACTGCTGCAATATTTATATGTATATATATTTTCGTTTACGTATCAATGCTTGTACATATCCATGTAATCATGTACGCGTAAGTCGACAGAATTTCGCTGCAGGAAAACTAAATTAATTATTATATTTTTATTTGATTAAATTCATTGATGCGTAGGATTAAAATTAAATTCTATTATGATGCACTACCAAACGCGCGTTCAACACCCGTCAAACTCATCAAAATGAGTGAGTAGGAATAGCGTTTCGGTGGTCATATGTATATACATGGATGTGTTGAAATGGGACAGACAAAAAAGTATCCACTCGCATACGGAAAAATAAAACAATAATTTTTAAACATTGAAAATACAAAGTTAATTTATAATTAATTTTATTTAATTTCTTCTTTTTTTTGGTAGCACCGAAAGTCAAATTTAATAAAAACTATTATTTTTTATACATATATTTTTTTCAAAAAATACTAAATTTCAAAAAATCAAAACTGTATGCCAAACTATTTGTAAAGGGTATATGAAAACCTCAAGTTAGTTTACATTGCCTGTGTCACACAAAACGAATGCACAAGAAAGCGAGTAGGTAAAAAAAGCATAGTCAGAAAGTCAACAGCGTCAAAAGTTAATGGTTAATATTTCAATTTTGCACAGTAATTTATTGCAAGTTAATTTACTCACATCAATATAACAAGTTGATTATCTACAAACCATGGAGAATTTTACATATTTTTTCCCCCCCGTTCAACTATATAATCGCACATATAGTAAACTTTTTCTTCTACATTCACTTCTGACGCCCATTGAAAATACCAATTGAAATCTGTTCACTCTGCTCCTGATCCTTTCACCGCAGGGAGGCCTTCCTCTTCCTCTGCTTCGGCCGGCGATGACTGAGCCGAATACTTTCCAAGCTGAATCGCTTTCATTCATGCGGACGGCATGTCTAGTCAGCATAGCCGCTGTCTGTTTGTTCGCTGAACAACTTAACTCGCACAGCTAATCGTTCCATCGCCTTAGCCAATGCGTAATAGTTCTATCGAAGATTCCCAAGCAGCATCGTCCACGTTTCTGCACCTTTTGTTAGGAAGGGAATGATGAGTGATTTGTAGTGTTTAGTTTTATTTCATCGAGTGAGGACCTTACTTTGCTGGCAGGAGTTATTCTGCGTTAGATTTCAAAGCTGACCTATAGTTTATACCAAGCTACCTCCAAACGGCTGTTGAATATTTATGAAGAACTTTCGATTTTCATGTCAAAAACACACTCGGAGGAGCCTATTATTTCTATTATATATGAATGTGTGGTCGTGTCTGGACTCGAACTTTGACCTTACACACGGTAGTACGCACTTCTAACTAACCGGATTTTTGTGGAAATTGTTTATATGTTGCTTACAACAATATGTGGTCGCCTTTCATGCATTGCATAAATATCATAACGAATATAGGGAACTTCCCAGCTTTTATAGGTTTTGCCCAAAGCGAACTTTGCTTAAATTCTGCATAACTTTCTATAGTAAGTCTGCGATTATCCTATTCTTGAATAAAATTAAGTACAAACGTTTCAATTTCTGGCTATCGTGAATATGGTCCACAGTTCACTGGACAGATCTGAAGTTCGAATAAAGAAGTTGTAAAATAATGCCACCATAAAAGGGTCGTACATTTTATGTCGAGTTCATCCGTCTGCAGTTCTCTGTTGATTTAAAAGCTGGGACCCAAACGAAGAATAAGCTGTTATATTAAACCAAATCTGCGACAGAATAGTCGCGACTAAGGTTAGAGCTTTTATTTATGGCCCGTCTTTCCTCTAAAGGATTATATTCACTTGCAAAACAAAACCAAAATAAATGCTTTCCTTTGTTAATTTTTTATTTTTTTATTTTTTTAGAGGCATTTTAATATGTAAAAAAAATTAAAAAGAAAAAGTAGACAATAATAATAGACAGAATTTAATGTAGTTTAACAATAAACGGTTCATTATAAAAAACATTGGACCTTCTTCTTCCTGTAGCCGAACTCCAAAAGGGCCTCCAAAAAAAGGTGTCTGGCGGTAAAGAAAATATTTTTGCTTACAATTATCTGAAACCCGAAAAACCAAAAAAAAAGATTATTATAATAGATGAATACAGGTAATGATCGAAGAAGTAGTAGAAAATTTTGATTGTTGAATTTCAAAAAAAAAAAAAAAATATTACTTGTATGCATGCTTTAGCCGAACGAACGTGCTTAAAGTGGTTTGTACGGTTTAAAAGTGGCAGTTTTGACTTAGAAGATATACAGCCAAAAAAATTTCAAGACGAGGAGTTGGAGACATTGCTCGACGCAGATGCATGCCATACGCAAGAAGAACTTGAAAAAGTTTTAGGAGTTGATCAAGCTACCACGCCACGAGACGCCCTTATGATATGATCATATCTCTGAGACTGTCGGATCAAATCGGCAAATATTCTGTGCATTCGAAAAACCACAAGTGGATATAATCTCTTGTGATGTAGCTTCTGGTAAAGCGCTGACAATGAAGTCTAGCTATTAGAATTATGATTGCAATTGAGGAATAAAACATCTCTTTTCACAACGACATCAATTTTTAAGCCACAAATATTAGCGCTCGCGGCTAGAGTATAATTTTTTCTGTCCATACTTTGCTCTCATGGTCCCACCGCTCTCTGCAGCTAGGTTCTCTTGTTCTTGAAGCTTGCCCCATGTAATCAACCGACATCTCTGTTAATCTATGTGCTGCTAATTCAATAAGTAGAATGTCAAGAATTTCTCTTAGAGCTTTGAAACCATTTTCAGCGCACCGCTAATAAGTACATATTAATGCCGTCTTACCAATATGATGTGTGTATGTTTCATTTCTTCACGATTGCAGGCCATGAACAATGTTATTCTGTTGGCTTACCCTGAATAAGAAAATCCAGCAGCTGAGCCTGGCATTAAACTCGGAGTTCTCAGATTACTGAGTTACGTGCTCATTCCAGCTCATTTTCCTATAGACTTCTCTGAATTTTGAAAACTTGGCTTTGACTTCCAGTACTAATTGACAAAATTTTGTTGCTTTTCTTGGTGAATGGAATGAGTTTCACCTTGTTAGAGAACATTTGAAGCGGAAATATAGCTCACGAAGTATTCTATTCCCCTTTATTACAATACAAAATGTTTTTTGAAACTAGCTTCCGTGTGCCACGGTTGGGTCGGCTACAATAAGAAGCAAGTTCAATGTGAGATTCCAGAACATAGATGAGGGAACACCACCTGAAAGTGAGCTTGAATATCCAACATTATCCAAAGCTAGCGAAATCTTCAGTGAGAGATTCGGAAACGTGGATGAGAAAAGATCGTGCCTCTGTTAGCATGTCAGAAAATTCGACATACCTCGAAGCTAGTGAACTGAGTTTAAGAGCTGCAGATGCAAGTCCATCAGCGAAATATTCACACCTCACATTTCAAAAGGAATTAAAGCATTTTCTATGTAACAGAAAATGGCGAACTTGTGGTCCCAATCTCACATTTGAAAAGGACAAAGTAATTGAAAATATTCGGCTGATCTCTTTCTCCGAATTTGTAAAGTTCCTTTTGTTATTACCAACAAATTGAGGGCCGTTGAGTTTATTGTAAGCCACCTCCGAAAAGCTAATTGATTTTATGAGGAACACACGAGTTACTGGGGTTAAGATCTATTTAAATCAAGCCAAGGGTCATTATTAAATTATATTAGAAATTAAAATGTCTTCCGGAGGGAACAATAAATCCTCATTAATGCTCGTTTATATTTCTTTTACTATTTATTTATTTTAATTTAATTTATTCTACTTCCTCTGTAATTTAAATCAACTCTGAATTTCTTCTCTTCCCTCCAGCTCGTTGAGGACTTAATGAAACGTCTGATGGCCATCATACACAGCACATATATCCTACGCGACTTCATACCGCTCAATCTTTTCATGCTGGACAATCGTCATGTGAAGAACACCATTGTCATGTTGGTCCAACAAGTTTACGATTTCATTATAGACTACTACAAGGCGGTTAATATAAATGAGAATCGCGCGTAAGTGTGTTTGTGTGTGTGTATGTGTGTGTATGTGACATGCTAATTGCTGCAGAGTAACAAAGAGACAAAGAACCTGTAGTTCCTGCTTAGCAATCATATTACCGCTACCTTTGCCATAGTTTGAATTAAATGAAAAAAGTACTTTTCGTATTAATTTTCTATTTCTTTTTTTCACATTTTTCCACGTAGCATCTGCGATGCACTCGAGGAGATGTCAATGAAAGCTGGCGAGCGACCTGAAGAGACACCAGAGGTGGTGGCATTACAAAACTATTTAACCGAATGCCGTGATGAGAAAATATTTGCAATAAAAGATGAAATCAAAATAGTGGCGCGTCGTGTGATATTCCTGCTGACACATACAATATTGGATAGTAAGTGGTGTTGGCGATAATGGTGGCGGCGGCAGGACATAGAGAGTTTATGAAAGTTACATATACTTGTACATATATACTAGTTAGAGAGTTTTCCAAATGAGCTTCTCTAACGAACACAGAGTCGAGTCAACTAGTTTGTAGCTCGCGTTGCAAGCGTGTTGCATCAAAAAGTTTCCATTAACTTTAACTCCTTTTTTCCATAGAAGTTTCATAAACTTGTTCACAACACATTGATATCCTTCAGTTACAACGGTTGTACACGCTCAACTGCCTTTGGCACTCGATATATACTAAAAGCAAATTATAAAAGTTTAATTTAGTTAGTGATTACAAAGTTGACAATACTTTTTGTAGAGGTTAGTGTGGGCAACAGGCGGGCGTGTGAGCGTTTGTGTTGTCATTATAAATGTTTTTATATTAACCGGCTGCTTATAAGCGCACTTCCTAACAACAGATGACTAACACCTGTGTGTGTGTGTGTGTGATTTTGTTGTAAAAGTGATATCATTAAATCGACTCGTGTAAAGTAAGCTTTTTCTGCTGCCAAACGCCTTCAAGATCTAATTAATTAGCTTGTCGAACATTAGGATGACAAAGTTGTGGCTGCTTGCCGCTCAAAGCTTCTATGTACACAGTAGCGTTGCCAACTATTGAGAATATTTGCTTGAATATTTTTTTTTCTTGCTTTAAACTTTTTTCTATTTCACCAAAACCTTTCTGAGAAGAAAATGTGTACAAAACAATCTCTTTATTCAATAGGTGATCACATTCATCTCAATTCACGCACCTTCATATTACCCAGTGAGCTGGAGGAAGTACTGGACTTAAGTGCGGCGCGTTTGAATGTTGTACGCGAAAACTTGGAAATGGCTTTGCGGTGGGTATGCTTACATACATAAACAAGCATATATATATATCAGTAGTTTTTGTATTCTGCCAGGCATTCATGATGACATTTTTACATCTTGAACAAAAATGAACTAGTATCATACTAGTTCAAGGTTGACCAAAAAATTATTTTTTTCAATTTTAATCAAAACAAGTGCATACATGCATTTTAGACCTTCCATTATTCAAAGAGGCCACAATTATCACAATTTGATTAGAAATATATCGGTTCCAAACTAGTTCAAAGTTGTACAAAAAATTACTACTTTCGTTTTTAAGCAAAACTAGTGTATACAAGTATTTCAGCACTAACGAGGCTACAATTACCACAATTCGGTTAGAAATATACTATTTTGATACTAGCTCAAAGTGGACCAAAACACCTAAATATTTTTCATCGAAAGTTTTAATTTTGGAACTGAAGTATACTATTCTCATACAAATACAAAGTGGACCAAAAATTAACTGGTTTGACTTTTAAGCAAAACTACTGTATACAAGTATTTTAGCACTAAAGAGGCTGCAACTATCAAATTCTGAAAAGAAGTTTGTTGCAATAGTCTGTTATTCTCAAATTTTGTATAGAAATATACTGGTTTCATACTAGTTCAAATTAGGTCAAAAGATAAACGGACTGAGTTTAAACAAAAAATAGTACGTACAGGGATTTTCCGCATGACATTGATCAAAGAGAGTTAACCTCAATTTCACTAGTCTGCAATTGTCACATTCGAACAGATATATAGTAGGTTCACACTAGCTTCAAGTGAGTCGACCAAACAATTATGGTTCCCTGCGGCTTCTTCCTGAAATTTTTAACTTTCTAACGGAAATATACTAGTCTTAAAGTAGTTTAAGGTTAGACTCGTTATGGAAGCATTTTTAGCAAGGCGTTTTACAACGAGACTGAATTTCTAATATTTTGAATGGGACTTTGTTCCGCGAGACTTCAATAGCAACATATAAACAGAAATATTGTGCTCTTATACTAGTTCAAAGTGGATCAGATTATTACTGGTCTCGTTTCTAACTAAAACTAGTGCATTGAGGCATGTTTTGCAAATCCTTGTTCTGCTAGCTTGAAATTGTTACAATTGAACAGTAATATACTAGTATTGTACTACTTCAAGATAGACCGAAAATAACTGTTTTATATTTGTTTTTACACTCATTTCTTGCTCGTTCATTTTTCTTCTTATTTCTGTGTTAAATTATGATATTATTTCAAAAAAAAAATTCTTTCTTCTATTTTTGCCTCCAAATAAGTATTGAAATATTTTTTTTTTTTTTTTTTGATCGTGTTAAGAACTAAAATTATAAATATGTGAATACAGTTAATGTGATCACTCTTCGCTTAAGTCCAGTCCGGACTGCCGTTGGTTTTCGGTCACCGATCTCGTGCATTTGTCGAGTATTTGTAAATAGTTTAATAATCGGTTACATTTTGGTATTTCCCCGACTAGTGCGCCGCCAGACGGTAGAAAACTACTATTTTTCAAACAGACTGACCCAGTAGAAAATTCAAAAAAAAGCATTACATATACTACTTTTGCACACACACACACAAACACATACATTCATTTCATTAGTGCCTGTTTTTGTTTTTACTTTTACTACTTTGATAAAAAAAAATGTGTAACTTTTTTAAATTTTATTTCTTTCCACTAATCATTCGCATCATTGCATTTACATACATACATACATAACACATATTCACGCACAGTGAACGTCGCAAAAAATTCGAGGAATTCATTTTGTATGAAAAGCGCCGCATGGATGGTTTTCGTGTCAAGGAAACGCGTGAAGTTATGTCATTGGAGGAATTGAAGGAAAGAGTTGACACTGTGGATGAGTTGTATGAAATAATTGAGGTGAGTAAATGAGTTGATCCTCCATCCATCGTTCTTGAATCCTTTGATCCACGCTACAATACTTAAGCCTTTTAGCTACCGCCCACTGTCTACCATCCCCACTTTTTGCTAAGGAGTCGCTTTACAGCATCGACTCTATACTTCGATCATTCTTCTATTAATTAAGTCTCTCTAGTTGTCGTTTAGGAGAAATTTGATCCTCAAACCGACTGTAATGCGAACCACGGTTAATTGAAGCTGAGGTTTAATTTGTATAATATTCCTTAATATTCCACTTTTCCAAGTCAAACGTGCGTACTCATGTTTCGTTTGTTGAGGCTTCTGGATATGTATTTCCGGAACTTTAACCGCCGTTTTGTATATTGTTTTTGCCCTTAACCTCTCCTTATTAGGTTTAACCCTAACTCTGAACCACTTGCTTCACTACTTACACGAATGTATGGAATCACCCGAAGAGCGTAGTAAAACCTACTTTTCTGTTGAATTTATACTACCAACTCTTTAGAAACACGAGTTTTCATCGAAATGCGAAAACCTTGAGCTGTAGTTTGATCCGGCAGTAGCGATATAGTTCAAGTTGGAGGCCACGATCGCCGAGTGGTAGGGATTAAGTATTGTACTAACATTCGCATGTCCAGGCTCGACCAACATCCCAAACACAGGTCCCTTCATTAGTACTTTATATCTTTATCGATTGTTTCTATTGGTTCATTATCGATGATCGACCTACGAAAGCACTCGTCTCGGTTAGGGTGCTGAACTAGGTACTAAGCCACAACAGCTGAAAATTTAAAAACTATCCGCATTTCTGCGAGCTCAGAACATGTACCAAGACATCAGTTGACCTATTGGAGGTCAGCTCGAGCCCTCGCCATAAGCAAGGGACGTGGAAAAATTTGATGCTCCATATTTTTTCGAAATCCAACAAAATAGATTTCATATGCCAAGCCAATCTGCGTCCCCAAATCTCCTTCGTAGATCAAATGGAAATTTTTCGATTAATCGGTTCAATTCTTTCACAAGACTCGATTTTATGATTAAAAACTTCTCAACTTTTTTTGTACGCTTACATAGAACATGAGTCGCGAAGCGCGAGCCATAAATGTTGAGGAACAATTACTACAAATCGATATCTCACCCTTCCCGGTACTAGCCGAAATAGTTGAGAAAATGGAACCAATCGAAAAATTATGGAAGACGGCTTACGAATTCGAAAAAGACTATCAAGTTTGGTGAGAATACCAGAAAAATATCTTAACTTAAATATTTAATCTAATTTATTTATGCCTCAGGATGTACGGCGAGTTCCAATGCTTGGACGCCGATGCCATACGCGAAGAAGTTGAGGGAATGCATCGCGTAAGTTCTTTTATTCTCTATTCGATTTCAATTTAAGAAAGCCTAATATATCTTTTATTCAACGCCATCGTAGATCGTGTACAAATTATCCCGCCAGCTGGCCAACAATCCGGCAGCGCGCCGTGCAGCGGAACAAATGCGTATTAGAGTTGAAAAATTCCGCGCATATCTACCAGTACTCGACGCCATCTGCCGGCAAGGTCTCACCGAACGTCATTGGAAACTCATATCCGAGCATTTGGGCGCCGAATGTAATCCCCAACTGTATCCCACACTCAAAGACATGATCGATGCTAATATAATGAACATTCTTCCGCAACTTGAAGAGATTTCTAACGCTGCGGGTAAGGAATATGAACTCAATTCCGCGCTCGATGCTATGCAGGGCGATTGGAAGGATGTCGCTTTTGAAGTGTTGCAATATCGTGACTCCGATACGCATATACTCTCTGCATTGGATGATATACAAACACTATTGGATGATCACATAATGCGTACGCAAGCAATGAAACGCTCGCCATTCATAGTGGCGCTCGGCACAAAGGCGGATGATTGGGAGGGAAAACTTTTGCTCATACAAAATATTATCGACGCCTGGACGCAAGTGCAAGTAACGTGGATGTATTTGGAGCCGATTTTCAGCTCCGAGGATATCATGCGGCAAATGCCGATAGAAGGACGGAATTTCAAATCGGTAGGTAAACGGAAAGGAAAGAGAATTTCAGGGATATACTCGTACGGCTACATGCATTTTTTTCAACAAACATAATTTTTCCACATGCGCAGGTCGACAAAACTTGGCGTAAGATCATGAAACACACCTGTCAAAATCTAAATGTTTTGGTGGCTACTGAATATCCGGATATGCTTGAGACTTTCTTGAAAGCGATGGAAGATTTGGAAACGGTGCAGAAAGGTTTGAATACATATCTGGAGCAAAAACGCTTGTACTTCGCACGTTTCTTTTTCTTATCCAATGATGAATTGCTCGAGATACTCTCTGAAACAAAGGATCCGTTGCGTGTGCAGCCGCATCTACGAAAATGTTTTGAAGGTGTAAGTTGGGCTCTTCTTAAGTCATTGAACTAAGAATTCACTCACTTTCTGGATTTATTTAACAGATTGCGCGTCTCACCTTCGATGATCAAATGGAAATAACAGAGATGATATCAGACGAGGATGAGCAGGTATCTATGGTGCGGAAAATCAACCCAGCTTTGGCGAATGTAGGTACAATCTATGTTCTAAAAGAATATTTACTGTGAATTATTTTTTCTTTACTTTTCAGGGACTTGTTGAAATTTGGCTAAAGGAGGTCGAAAATGTTATGCTAGCAAGTGTATTGGAGCAAATGAGATTAGCTTGGGAAGATTATTTCTTAATAGAACGCATTATATGGGTCACCTCATGGCCAGGCCAAGTGGTGCAGAGTATTTCCTGTATGGCTTGGACATTCGAGGTAAGTTCTTTAATTTGGATTATGAAAAAGAGGATTTATAATAATGTCACCAAAAACAACATATCTACACGCTACCCTTATCAGACTAATCGAATGTAAGTCCCACGCAGATTGATTTGTATAGATAATAAGCACATATCTGAAACCTCGACGATGAGAACCTTTTTAGGCTGTCGTTCGGGGCTCTTCAGCTTGCTTTTTAAGGCAGATCAGCCTCAGCTAACTTGAGTATGTTCTGTTGGCCGTTTGGTCAGAGATACCTTAATTGTCATCACGGTGAGGTCATTCCAATTAAGTGCTTTCAAAAATCTGGCTTTAGTGGGGATTCAGAGAAGACCTTCATATAATGATGTAAACGATGTTATGGAGTTTATATGCTACCTATAGCCTTTATATGGCTACGGCAGTGTGCGCCACTTGTCCAAAGCCCTCGTCAAGTGCCCCGCGTCTCTTAGTCGGCAGTATTCTCAGCCTTATTATTAGCTGACACAACAACCATGTTCATGTCTTGCAATCCTTTATATGGTTTCCACGTTCGTGATCAAACATAAAATGATTTCGTTCAAAGTTCTGTCATCATGTTCATTGGAAGTAGTCTTAACGTTAATTGGGAGCCAAATATACAATCCAGCTGCTTATTTCAAGATCTAAAGCTCCTCACATTCGCATCTCTGGTACACAGGATCTGCAGTGAAATCGTCGTTGACACTTTAATCGAGTGGTTACAATAAAGCTTGTCTGCAAGTTCGATAAGGATTTCCCAAGTCTCCAGGGTGTGTTATGAGAACACAATACTTCGTTAAGCACATCACGACTCGATCATGTTTCGAAGACTATGAGTATCTGCATCTAGCTCTACACGACAAAGATGGTGTTTTACACTTTTGTAAATATTTTGCGTTAACAGATGTCACAATTTTTTACCCAGTCTCGCGAAGAAACAATATTTCAGACATTACGAATGATACTTAATATTGAGATTTTTTTTAACTCTTCTTCTTGTGACCGTCAGTTGTCGGTTGATTAAACTTTTTTAACTTCTCCTTATCGCAGGTCGAAGAGGCGTTTAGTGAAAATGCTGTACCCGCCTATTTAGAGAAATGTAATGGGCAAATCAGCGAGCTCGTGCAATTGGTAAGAACTGATTTGGCAACCGGCACCCGGTTGACGATCGAGGCTTTGATTGTACTGGACGTGCATGGTGAGTACACAAACGAAGAATTTTATATAAAGTAGATTCTTATTAAGAAGAAATACATTTTTCAGCACGTGATGTTGTTAAATATCTGATTGACGTGAATGTGGAAAATATTACAGAGTTCGATTGGATCTCCCAACTGCGTTACTATTGGCGAGAAACAGAGAGTCAGTTCTTATGAAATTTTCTTAATATCTTATTTCTCATTAAACAAGTATGTTTCCCCTTACAGAGGGCGAAGAGTGGGTCTGTGTTAGTATGGTTGTGACAGATGTCAAATATGGCATGGAATATTTGGGTAATAATCCCCGCTTAGTTGTGACGCCGCTAACTGATCGTTGCTATAGGTGGGTTTGTGTACACAATTAATGCATTTATTCCATTAAATAATCTTTACAAAACTTGCATAAAATATGAACACCAACAACAACAACTATCTATGTGAAATTGAAAAATAGTAAAAACACTCTTGAATATTTATTGCCCACTCCCACGCGTAAAAATATCGAAGCCTAAAACCTTTTTTAATGGCTTTGTAGATAACGCTTTCACATTAAGCCAAATAAATCATCGTTCGGCAGTAAGAACAAAGCAAATAAACGCAGTCGCCCACGTACATACATATGTATGTGAATAAAAAAGCGTCCGAAGCTATAAAAATTAGTGCCAAATGGTAGCAAAAACCATAGACACGGCATGAACACACAGATATGAAAATCCATTGAGGTTCATCCTCACTAGACCGAGTTTTTCAACATAGACTTTTTAAAACTTTGTATAAATTTTTTTTTTTGTTTGCAATAGTAAGCTCATAGAAATGGCACTCACCTCATACTTAGTGATGTATTTTAAACCCCCATGCCCTTCAATAAACCTCCACAATAGCTGACCAAACACTTTTCCTACAGAACGCTGATGGGCGCATTAAAATTGTGCTTAGGTGGGGCACCAGAAGGACCAGCCGGTACGGGCAAAACGGAGACGTGCAAAGATTTGGCCAAAGCTGTGGCGAAGAAATGTGTTGTATTTAACTGCTCCGACGGCTTGGATTACAAGGCATTGGGCAAATTTTTCAAGGTAAGTAATAAATAAAAGCCATAAATAAGTATTCCGATTGTTAAGCACATATAAATTCAACCTGGAAGCTAGGCTGTAGATAATAGCACCACGCCAATGTAAAAAGAAATATGTAAAACAACAAAATTTATATCAAAAATATTGTTTTTTTTTATTCGTTTGTAAAAATAATTCGCTGAGGTAGTCAATGAAATGTAGTCTTAGCTTGTACTATGCATTGTGGTCGCTTGTGTGCAGAGGTTGTTTAGAGCTTAAACACGACGGTGACGGTATTTCAGGCGACGCACAGTCTTGTAACGGTAACCATCATCAGCCAAGGCGGCGGATTCTTGGGGTTCAACGAAAACTTGTTGCTCAGCAACAGCTACTGGAGCGCTAGCAGCGACTGGAGGCAAGTACTCATTTGAGGGGAGTTCGTTGACATCACGTCGGTGACGGTATTTCAAGCGACGCACAGTTTTGTAACGGTAACCATCATCAGCGAAAACGGCGCTCTCTTGTGGAACATCAACGACAGCTACTGGAGCACTCTCGGCTACAGGAGGCAAGTATTCGTTTGAGGGCAGTTCGTTGACATCACGACGGTGACGGTATTTCAAGCGACGAACGGTCTTGTAACGGTAACCATCATCAGCCAAGACGGCGGATTCTTGAGGAGCGAAGGCGACTTCCTGGGCGACAGCGACTGGAGCGGATTCGGCTGCTGGAGGCAAGTATTCGTTTGAGGGAAGCTCGTTGACATCACGGCGGTGACGGTATTTCAAGCGACGAACGGTCTTATAACGGTAACCATCATCAGCCAAGACGGCGGTTTCTTGAGGAGCGAATGCGACTTCCTGGGCGACAGCGACTGGAGCGGATTCGGCTACTGGAGGCAAGTATTCGTTTGAGGGAAGTTCGTTGACATCACGACGGTGACGGTATTTCAAGCGACGAACGGTAACCATCATCAGCTAAAACGGCGGATTCTTGAGGAGCGAAGGCGACTACAGCGACTGGAGCGGATTCGGCTACTGGAGGCAAGTATTCGTTTGAGGGAAGTTCGTTGACATCACGACGGTGACGGTATTTCAAGCGACGAACAGTCTTGTAACGGTAACCATCATCAGCCAAGACGGCGGATTCTTGAGGAACGAAAGAAACTTCCTGGGCAACAGCGACTGGAGCGGATTCGGCTACTGGAGGCAAGTATTCGTTTGAGGGAAGTTCGTTGACATCACGACGGTGACGGTATTTCAAACGACGCACGGTCTTGTAACGGTAACCATCATCAGCTAAAACGGCGGATTCTTGAGGAGCGAAGGCGACTTCTTGGGCAACAGCGACTGGGGCGCTTTCAGCTACTGGAGGCAAGTATTCGTTTGAGGGAAGTTCGTTGACATCACGACGGTGACGGTATTTCAAGCGACGCACGGTCTTGTAACGATAACCATCATCAGCCAAGACGGCGGATTCTTGAGGAGCGAAGGCGACTTCTTGGGCGACAGCGACTGGGGCGCTTTCAGCTACTGGAGGCAAGTATTCGTTTGAGGGAAGTTCGTTGACATCACGACGGTGACGGTATTTCAGACGACGCACGGTCTTGTAACGATAACCATCATCAGCAAGGACGGCAGCCTCCTGTGGCTCAGCTATAGCGACTTGTTCGAATGCAACCGACTCAGCTGGTGGCAAGTAGTCATTGCTAGGCACATCAACGGCGGCCACAACCGCGATAACGGCAAATAACGCGACGAATAATTTCATTTTGTTGCCAATAACTCTTTAGCTAAACTAAGACCGTTGCGAATGAGTTAATCTGCGAGAATGATGTTCTTGAACTACAGACGGAAAGTATTTATACGAAAAATTATGCTAAGGTCTCGCATTTAAAAGCGCGCTCAACGCCAGCGCCAAACCGAGTATGCTAAAAAGTGAACTGTTTGCAAAAAAAAAGCAAAAAAAAAAAATAGAAGATAAACAAAATTGGACAAAAAGCTCATCATATACATACAAACAATAGAAAACTGCGAACAATCGCCGGTGTGAATAGAGTGTCGACACTGCTTTGGTTCTATTTTAGTTTGATCTTCGCAGCGGACGCATAAAATATTCAACATTCATATAATCCAATTGTATTTATTTCTCAGTTATTTTTTTCATATTATTAGTATTTTTTTTGTTTTTTTTTTTTTTGCAAATCAACGAGTGAGCGTTTCCCTAACATTCACACTTGATGACCAAAGAAACACAAATCGACTGGAAAATAAAAGAAAACAAATTTTATTGATGATTTGCGCAGTTTTAGGGCTAAGCTGAGCTGAGCTGCGCCGCTTCACTGACGGCCGCAACTGGTCTTAATTGATAACCAATTTCAGCGGCAAAAGATAAATTAACCTCGCCATAAGTGCTATGCTTTGCTAAACGCACCAACCGCCCATTCGCTCGATATTATTTATAGCCTTAGACGAGTTTGAAGAGACACTCTGGTGCCACTCGAACGCCCTGTCGCTAGCTGTTGCTCGCTGAAACGCTGCTTGCTAAACGATGAACACTCAATACATTTCACTACGCCGCACAACACACACACACCGTGCTCACCGCCGAACTCGTTGGTCGCTGCTCACAGCCCGCAACTTCTTGTCTAGTTTATGACACCATCTGTTGCTACTCGTTTCATGAATAGGTCATTAACCAAACAAAGCAAAAAAGCAAAAAGAAAAAAAAAAAGAAAAGAAAAAAAAAGAAATAATTAAAAAGCTTCAACTCGATGCGATAAATCAAATGACTAAATATCAGATGTTCAACCCCACACAATCCGGTTCTTGAGAGTGGAGTTATCTAATTTATTGGTAAGCGTGCTGCTTTAGAAAGTGGGAGTCTTCGTTAACCGAAGTTCTTTGCAGGTACACGCATTTCGCGTTGTTGTTTGTGTGTATTCCACGCGTCCCAAACTGTTGTTGTGAGCCGCCACAGTGGCTGGCGGCTTATTTGCTTGGCTGTTTGTTGATTCTTTGACTCTTTGTCGTGCCGGGCGCACGTGTGTGTTGATAGCCCACAAATATATATTCTTTTACTCGAAATGATGAAGCGTCGAAGATGGTAAAAGAAATTTGAATAATTAGCGCTGAGCCAAGAAGACTATCAACATAAAACATACTTACTTACATACTAAACATATATATATTGTCTGTACATAAGAACACTGTCCATGCAGGTAGTAAGAACGCGCCGCTCGGCGGGCTAATGAAGTTCAAGGTAAATTATTCATACTTGTGGATTTACTTAAGTGTGAAATGTTCTAAAAATTATAGCAAGGGATTTCCAGCTTCATAACTTACATACATATGCATTCGACAAACATACGTGTACATACAAAAATCGCTCTCCATTCCCATATTTGACAAAAAATGGTTATTTGTGAGTGAGTGAACCAGTTTTAGTCCACACACAGTTTCCGGCAACTAATGGCGCGGTGTGTCAAAGTTGAAATTAAATAAAATTAATTAATAAATACGTAATTTTATATGCAATTAATGGCTGCTACACAAATATACATATATATTTACATATATATATATATATATTTTTTTTTAATTTTATATAAATTTAAATTTTAGACTAACTAATTTTTTGGTTGATAAATTACTTTCGAAAGTAAGTACACATTTAATGATTTTTTTTTTTTTGAGTAAATTAATGATATTATTTAAATTTCGAAAATTTATAAGTTGCTAAAATTGCCTCTCTATTATTGGCTTATAATATATGTACAAGAAAATAAATATTTGATGGTGACCGTGGAGAATAGTACTTTAAAATAGTGCTTAAAAATGGTTCAATCAATGATTCTTCTTACAGAGTTTTCCAAAATAAGAGTTGTTATTTTGATATTCTAAGAGAGACAAATGATCGGATATTTATTTCAGTGTAAAAGTATGACGTTATTAATGGAAATCATTACCAGCAAAAAGTCTCCCACAACTACTTTTACATGTTCCTATCTTTTTTATGCAATTTTCCATCACCAAATTCCAAAGTGCCTGCTGTATGACCTCAGCAGCCCCACGAAGTCCATTTTTGTGGTCTTGAATCGACATTGGCTATTTCGCGTATACCTTATCTTTGACATGGCGCCAAAGGAAGCAGTCGCAAGATGATAAATCCTAAGATCTCGGTGGGCAATTGGGATCACCTCCTGGAGGGTTATTATGGCCCGTCAAATTTTCGCTTAAAATATCTATGGTATCGTTTCGCGTGTGAAATCATTAACCATCTCTTACTGGAGGCTGACCCCGCCGAACCTTAATTCGCAACGCTTTGAGAATGGAAAGAGTTTTCAACAAAAAAATATTAGGTTTTCCGACATACCCATATGCGACAGTTTTGCTTATTGACCTAGCCATTCTGGGTGGAAATGGGCCTCATCAATCAAGATGATTTTTCATTTAAATTCCGCATCATTACCATGCATTTTAAGAACCCAATCAGCAAAGACACGACATTATTGATAATCGGCCGGTTTGAGCGCTTATGTTAACCGAACTTTATAAGCCTTAAGCCCCAAGTCTTAACTGCTTTCGAAAGAGCTGTTGTGAAGCAAAAAAGTTGAAGATTCAAGAAAAGTATCAAATACTAAATGCCGTGCAAGGCTCTGTTATGGCTGTGTAAGTTTCGTTGGTTTTGGTGCTCGATACAAGTTTTCAAAGTCGTTAGCAGCTGCATGCACCCGTTTTTTTGTTCCATTATTTTTTCATTTTTTCTTGCTTTTGTTTTTTATCTCTGGTAGTGAATTTATTTTTTTATTCTCTGGTTTGCCTAGCAGAATTGCTAGCGCTTGTTTATTTTAGCTTTACGCTGTCTGCGAAGCTTTCAATTTGCTACAAGTGCATTTGCATATGTTTTGTTTACCGATACGCAAACACTTATTCACATATATGTTTGTATATGTATGTGTGTTTATATATGCAAATGAGCGCATATGTGTTGCTAAACTCTTTCACTAAATCCAATACGTCTCAATATTGAAAACTGTTTTCCTTAGTGCCTTTATCCGCCGCTTTCTTTTTACGTTTTTCGTTTTTTTTTTTTTTTTTTTTCAATTTTAAAAAAGTATTAAAAAGATCACAATCGGTTTTTCGCTTATAGCTCCGTTCTTTATTGTTATTTTTTTTATCATATTTCCTTTGACTATCTTCATTTAAATGTTGTTTGCGTCATGTTTTTAACTTCATTCTTCTTCCTCCGTTTTTTTAATTTTCCATCTCTCCTTATAATGTCTTTTCTTCAGGGCTTAGCACAATCTGGCGCCTGGGCTTGTTTCGATGAGTTCAATCGCATTGAATTGGAGGTGCTCTCGGTGGTGGCGCAACAAATTCTAACCATACAACGCGCCATCGGTCGCAAGGTGGTGAAATTCTTTTTTGAGGACACGCTGCTGCGCTTGGATCCCACATGTTCCATATTCATAACAATGAATCCCGGGTAAGTGAAGTGTAGAAGGAAGATAAAAAAACAGCATGAAAATTGCAAACATTTCTATTTATTTGTGTGCAAACATGCACATAAAAGCGGCTGTTTCGTTTACTTAAAGCGTGTGGTAGTAAATACATACATACATACTTGTATGTATATATATAATACTGGTGGCACAATGGTCTTAGCTTTAGCCGCTTGTTGCAAGTGGTCCTGCGTTGTGGTTTCTCACACAGTTGTGTCCTTCTTCTTCTTTATTTATACACCGTTTTTTCACCGTTGTTTGCGTATTTGTTTTGTCTTGTTGTACGCGTTACTCAGATGGAATTACAAGAAGAAGTCTTTTGTGCCGCATCTGTGGTGTTCTAAATACTCTATTTGTGATTTTCCTCTCTTTATGCGCTTCTAATAAATTTTAAATTTTTTTCCTACATTTTACTGTGTTTTGAGGGCGGAGGGCACATAAGTCGGTTATTGTTTTTCTTTAACAGTCATCGACTGTGTAGCGATCGTAGCGATGGTTTAGGTGGATTTTTCTAGTCAAAAAAAAAAGAAATTAAATAAATTTTAAATTTCAATCGCCCTGAGTGGACAATTACAAAAGCACCAAATATCAATACCACCGAGCAACTCCAACAGAGACTGTGATATTCATATATCCTTAAGCTCCAAGTAGTATTATAATGGAGTCTAATGAAGGACAGATTGCATATAAGATCCTGTCAAGCGTATTGGATGGAAGGCTAAAGTTTACCGTCAACAAACTCATTGGGTCTTATCAGTGTGGCTTCAGACCTGGTAAATCAAGCATTGACCAGATATCCTCCAAATATCCAAAAATCCAAATCTTGGAAAAGATATGTGAAAACCGGATCTATACCCACCACCTTTTCGTCGATATTAAAGTCGCCTTCGACAGCACGAATAGGAGCTGCCTCTATGCCGCTATGTCTGAATTTGGTATCCCCGTAAAACTTATACGGCTGCGTAAGCTGATGCTAGACAACACGAGAAGCGCAGTCAGAATTGGGGAGGACCTCTCCGAGCCATTCGATAACAAACGAGGTTTCAGACAGGGTGACTCCCTGTCGTGTGATTTCTTAAATTTGATGCTTGAGAGAATAATAAAAGCTGCAGAGCTGAATGGAGAAGATATAATCTTCTATAAGAGTGCACAACTACTGGCGTACGCCGATGATATGGACATTATCGAGTAAAGTAAAGTTTTCTCTCGGCGAACGAAAACCAAACTCTACAAGTCCCTCTTCATTTCCGTCCTGCTATATGGACGATGACAACATCTGACGAGTCGGCGTTTGGGGTTCTTGGGAGAAAGGTTTTGCGTAAGATTTATAAAACTTGGCGCATTGGCAACGACGAATATCGCAGACGCTGGAACGATGGGATGTATTAGTTATACGGCGACATTGATATTGTTCAGCGAATCAAGAAGCAGCGGGTACGCTGGCTAGGTCATATGGTCCGATTGGATGCGAATACACCAGCTTTGAAAGTTTTCGATGCAGAAGCCGCCAGTGGAAGCAGGGAAAGAGAAAGACCGGGTATAGAGGGACCTGGCTGTACTTGGTATTTCGAATTGGCTACAAACAGCAAATAGAAGAAACAAATGGCGCAATGTTGTTAAATCGGCCAAAATCGCGTAAGCTGTGTCTGCGCCAGTAAAGTAAGTAAGTAATCGGCGCTTTGTAACCGGTAAAGCGATTTTCAGCCGAGCTCCTCCTCCGATTTGTAGTTTATACTAAACCGCCTTCGAACGGCTGATGGTTTTTTATAAGGAGCCTTCATTTCATGTCGTTTTTTATAAGGAGCTTTCATTTCATGTCAGAAATACACTGGGCGGGGTTGACATTCCTTGCCGAGGGGCGACCAAAATTAGAAAATTTAGCTTATCTTTTTATTTAAATTAATTTGGGATTCAGGATTTGAACCCGAGCCTCCTAAAAATCAGTATGCAATGCTAACCATTCGACTACCGCGGCAACCAAACTATTATTGAGAGAAAAATAAGGCTTTTTGGCATGAAAATTATTTTACGTAAAACGCTACCCACTTGTATACTAGTTCACAACTAGTCACCTTTTCAAAAGGGCAAGCGGAAGTATGCCTAATTCCATTACATTTTACGCAAACTGTTTTACGACCGAAATTCCATTTTTTTCCTCCAAATGCCGATATTTTTTTCCGTTACGAAATACCAAAGCAAAGTGAAACTATTTGGCGGCATTGTCTGCATACAATTTTTTCCTTCCTTCCTTCCTTCCTTCCTTCTTTTCGCTACTTTCTATTGTGGTTATTTGGTTGTTATTGTTGTTGTTATTGATACATTTGTCCAGACTTGTTTGGTAACCGTGTCGTTGGCTGTTACGCTGCCGATTATGCAACGTTCTAAACATTTGCATACCACTACAATCACATAACATACAATAAATGTGTGTGCACACATACATACAATACACATGTATGCACCAACATATGGATTTCGTAAAATTTATGTATGCAAATGGCCGGTAGTGCGTATAAACGAACGACCACACAAGCACACACACACACTCTCACTATCCATTGGCACATTGCATCAATAGCCAGTCATATTTACATACAAAAAACCAAAAAAAAAAAATTAACAAAAATTGTATTCAAAGCACACAAATTGTTGTGCAATTGCAACAGTTGCTCCGTCTAACTTTGATCACAGCTCGATATTGCATTGTGGGGAGCACTGATGCGCCTTCTACCTTCCATTTGCCTAAAAACTTTGGCAATCTCCTATACGTATGTATATGTATGAGGCAAATAGGCATCAGTTTGTTTGCTTGTTTGTATGTTCTGTATATTGGCGGCATAAAACATCATGTTGAGTTGTAGCACTTTCAGGAGTCACTGAGCAAAATAGTGTTGATAGAAAGAGGGTTTTGTAGCAAATATTTGTTTTAGTAAAAAGTAAACCATTATTTCAGCTAAAGATGGCTTTAGTGATCCATATTTCGCATTCCATAAATGCGATCGATGGCGTTAGAAAGATGATATTTTGTACCGAAGAAGGTAATGGAAAAAGTGTTAATCTCCTCACTCAATACTGTTTGAGCACATGTCAAAGATGGGGACTAGCAGAGAGAAAATATTATGTCCAAGGCGCTCCATGGCGTGATGGGCCAATTGTCTAAATCGTCGATAAAATAATGGAAATTGTCAGGCACTGTACCAAAAACTGCTGGAACAACTTGAAAAAGGCTACACAAAGAAGCTCAATAAAAGGATGCCACATGAGTTACGAATCGTTGCTGAATTGTAACAAAATAGACCCATTTCTTGAAGCTTATAATGAGAGGTGGTGGAAAATGAAACACTTCAAACGAAAACAGTAGATGTCGAAGGGCAGTGGGCTGGGACAAACGGTATCCAAGCCGAGCTTCAAGGTTGAGGTTTAGGTTCACCTTATAGTCCGGATATCATACAAGCGATTATCATTATGTTCTGTGTCTGTCTATATCGAGCGATTTGCCTGGTGAAAAATTGACCTCAAGAGCAGCCTGTTACAAACTATATCTCCCTTTTTAACCAATATAAGGATAAGGGTTTCTATGAGAGAGGCATAATGATATTATCGAAGAAAGTGGTCCATATTTGATATTAATCTAATTATGGTTTTATTGGCGTTCGAGAATTTTGGCTATGTTTGTGGGCGGTAAATGCAAGATGTCTAGGGCCTGATTTGCTTCTCTGATATATATACTAAATGTTTTTTATATAGTACAGTGAGGGTGGGCAAGAGTTTATTTCTAGCCGAATAAGCCACATCATCACTGTAGGTCGCAACAAGTACTTTCCTCTTTTCCAGATCTAACAGCATTATCATTATTAGATTATTAGTTTATTTTAGGTCTTGTTTCAAAATGCAAAACTTAAGAATATATTTTTAAAAAAATCGCCGTAAAATTTTTAAAATGTGATCATATTAGTGTTCTCTATTGTAAAAATATACTCTTTTGAAAATAAAATAAGCTCTTTACAAACAACCAAAATGTGCCTTGAACGACTTTACTTTCTTCGCAGAGAAATCCATAGCCGAGGTCGCAGTTTCACCTAGATTTGCGATCAGTTCAGTATAGTAATTATTAAAAGAAGTTTTTTTTTTTTTTGTAAATGAAATTCAATAGTACCCCTGCCTCGATGATGTAGGTGGTATGACCTAAACCAAAATTTTTCTGTCAATTTTAGTCAAAAGACTGAGACTTGTCTGTTTCACACTTCGTTACTTTTGGTCTAAACCCAAATCACCATATTTAGATTGAAGGAAACAAATACGATCCTAAGATCTAGATTAAACTCAGTGAATTGGATTTCAGGCCGTCTTCAAAAACTGACAGATTTTTTTTGGACAGCCTATTATTTTCAGAAATAAAATCGTGTTGAGTGATAAAGGGGCGACTTTTACTAAAAACATTTATATTTTCAATTCAATTATTTCAATCAAAACACTATAATCCTTAGCATTATCAAATAACGAAGGCTTCCCTTGAATCCGCCAGATGGCGCAAGCGCACAGAAAATCTCTATTTATAACCAGATCTTGATGGGAAAGAGAAATGGAACTGTTCTTATAACAAATCATATACACATCTCAACTATATATCGTTACTGCTTACACATCTCTCTCTTACGGCATATACATATCCCCCTATCCCTCTTTCTTTCTGTTCCTATATCTTTCGGGGTCTCTCTTACATCTTTCTAACATTGTTTTTTCCTACCTCTGTCTCTCTCTCTCTCTCTCTTTCTGCATTTACAAAACTTAGCTGGCATCTTCCAAGCTGCAGTACTTCTTATAGACAAAATTAAGAGTGCCAAGCGACATTACGGTGGTCCGAACCCGTCGAAACAGCTCGTTTCATAGATGATGTAATCGGTGACTTAGACTAACTAGCCTGTCCCTAAGCGGAGCTAATTAACCGCTACAACAACAACGGGGATTGTAGCTGAAATTTACTGGAAAGAGATATTTTTACTGACAAATTAACTTGAAAAGGGTCTGTGGCCATAAGGAATAAGGAAATATTTGTTAATGAAAAGGAGACCATACAACATATTTGAGACTGCCTTTCCAAATCTGTTGATTCCTGGGCTGTTAATATTTTTTCAGTCTTTCACTTTTTAATTCACTTTTAAAATGTTTGCAATATTTCCCTTCCCTATTTCACCTAAAGCTAATAATTCAATATGTCCGAAATATTACTAATACATTTCCGTTTTATCAATTTCTCTACACAACTGCTACCGTTAGTTTGTATGATTTCTTCAGCAAATTTCGCTTATCGTAAGAAACTTTGACTAAGCAGACTTTGTAAACAGTTGAAATTGAATAAACTTTGGTAAATATTTCAATTTAGTTTTTAGCAATTTTGCTAGATAAAAAATAAAGTTGAACAGAGAAATTTGTTGCTTCCACAATTCGAGCTATGATTGAGCAAAAGTGCTGGCCAAGATTTTGACCACAAATGCATTATATTTTGTAATGGAATATTCCAACTATATTCACACGTAGACATATATACATACTTATGGTATCATGAATTCTACAAAATATTTGCTATTTAAAGGGTGGTTTTTTAGTTGTTTTCTGACGCACCTTTCGTGTCAAACATATTCAGTTTGGTTTATGATTTAACCACGAATCGTCTTGCAAACGAACAACGCTTGCAAATTATTGAATTTGATTATCAAAACGCATGCTCTGTTAGGAAAGTTCAATTAAAATCAATTGTGCTCAGCAGAATTGTCGATTTTGAGGTGAAGGTCAGCCAGCAGCATTGCAAGAGCTACCAATGCATCCAGAAAAAGTCACAGTTTAATGCGGTTTATGGGCTGGTGGCATCATTGGACTGTACTTCTTCGAAGATGATGCGAATCGCAACGTAACTGTGAATGGCGAGCGCTATCGTGAGATGACATCAAACTTTTGTTTACCCAAAATGCAAGAGCTTGACTTGCATGACATGTGGTTTCAACCAGACGGTGCCACATGCCACACAGCACGTGTAACAATGGACTCATTGAGAGGCGAGCTCGGTGAACATTTTTCAGGTTCTGGACCGGTCAATTGACCGTCTAGATCATGCTATTTATATTATGTTTTGTGGGGCTGTGTTAAATCTAATATCCATACAGACAAACCCGCCTCAATTGGCGTATTGAAGAACAACTTTGAAGCAGTTATTCGTAAAATACCGGCCGAAATGTAGGAAAGAGTATGTCAAAATTGGACTAAGTGGATGGATCATTTGAGGCGCAGTCACGGTCAAATAAAGATTTCATGCATTTTTCTGTATTGTAGGTGTTTTTTTTTTTGAAAATTTTTTCTATAGCTCTTTATAAATCACCCTTTACATCTTATCACTGAAATTCCAGACTTTTCTTCTATGAATTTTGAAATCACACGTGAAAATAGAATGGAGTGAAATTCAATACGCTTAGGAAATTGTGTGAAAGTTACAAACAAGAATATAAAAACTATGTTTATGAGTGTTCATATGTACATACATATCTACAACTACCATTGTAAAGCCATAATTTAATTTTAACTTAACTAATTTCGTTGGTTCTGATTTTTACTTTGATCACTTATTGTTGCGGTTATTCATTGTTCATATATATGTATGTACGTATATAAGAAAAACCTCGATGGTGAGTAAATAAATACTTTAGATATACATATACGTGTATATGAAAGTGTATTTGTATACACTGTAACCTATTTTTCACTACATCTCTGCTATTTTCCCAACTCTCCTTTCAGCTACGCTGGTCGCACAGAACTGCCCGACAATTTAAAGGTGCTCTTCCGCACGGTGGCCATGATGGTACCTGACTATGCGATGATTGGCGAAATTACATTATATTCGAACGGTTTCGATCAGGCGCGTATGTTGGCGCAAAAAATCGTGCATACATATAAATTGTGTTCAGAGCAACTATCATCACAATCGCACTATGATTACGGTGAGTGAGAAAGTAAAATAGAATATTAAACAAAAAAAAAAAATAAATACATAAAAATAAAGTAAAATATATTATATTTAGTCAAGTATGTATTTATAGACGTATCACGTTTAAGTGAACTTCTTTTCAAAAAACAGGTTGCCACGATTGACTGCCGATCTATCCATTCATACAGTCAAAAGTGGTGATTTCGATTTATTGCTGAATGGATGGCTTTAGAAAGTACATATGTATGTATATGTGTATGCACAAGTATATGCATGTGTTTCGACATTATTGTGTATTTACTATGACGTGTGAATATATGCACTCTTGAGTGTAAATTTTATATTTTCCCCTTCTATTGAATGCTGTATAAATACACCGACTTCTACTGTACTCACAACGTAGTTAAACGAGAAAAGAATATTTATTTTGAGTGGTGTTGCATTCACTGATTGCAAAGAAGTGTTACAAAATGCGCTGGTTTGTGTAAATAAAAAATGGAAAAAAAAATTCATAATAGAAAGGAAGTATATCAATAGTTCTAGGTGAAATTGAGGAAATGCGCGTTTTCAGAAGAGAATTCGCTTTATAATATGATTTCTTTATCACTTCCTTCCTTTAGTTTGGTTTGCACTTCAGGCGTTTATCAATATAATACGCTTAAATGAATACAAAAATACTTTGGTGATTTTCTGATACTTTTTGGAAACTTTACTTTTTTCATTCTTTTCTTATTAAATTTTGCTTCGTTTTATTTACATTTAATTTACTTTTATTTTGTTTTATTTTAATTTTAATTATTTTATTTTAATTTATTTTATTTTATCTGATTTTATTCTTTATTTTATTTAATTTAATTTTATTTTATTTTAATTTATTTTACTTTATTTTATTTTATTTTATTTTATTTTATTTTATTTAATTTTATTTTATTTTATTTTATTTTATTTAATTTTATTTAATTTTATTTTATTTTATTATTATTTGCTTCTAATTAATTATATCTTTATTAAGTTTTTTCATTTTATTTTATTTCAAAATCAAATCGACAGAAAAAGAAACTTTCCTTAACTTTGAATTCGTACTTCTATTACGCCAACAACAAATATCAGAAAAACCTCTTCAGATTATGTTATATATATATTGGCCATAAGAAGCTCATAGAAAAATACCTTAACATTATTCTTATTTTATTCATATCATATTTCAAGCGCATTTACATAACAACTTATGTATATACCAGTTCATTTCGGCTGATAAATTGGCATAGTGGAAAAGAAAGAAATTGTAGAATATATTTATTTTCTTTTTGGTTGTTGTTTTCTTTCCCCCTTATCTGGCAGAAAATGTTAATTCACAAGTTTGACAGCGACACTTTCGTGAGTGGGCCAAGTGGTTCGAAAGGCGCTGAGATTTATGTACGCAAATACGAAAGATAGATATCTCATTTTTTTGGTTTCAATAGAAAAACTTATTTGCTGAATGTTAACGCCTCGAAGTGAAGTGCTAAAATAGCGGTGAAACTTTTTCTGTGGGTGGTGGCTATGTAAAGCAAATATTGATATGTACTAGTATGTGTATTTGTGTAAGTATTTTAATGTCATTTCTGGCGCTTTGACGTTGGCATCGCTGACACTTTAATGGCAGAAAATATATTAAAGAAATCTACTAAGGATAGGGAAATATGTCAAAAAGTTATCGATGTTTTTGTGAAATTTTTGTTAAAAAAAATAATCGAGGTGTGATTATAATATGCTTGGACGGCTTAATTCGAGCCAATATATAATTATATATATTATTTAGCCAGTTCCACAGAAATATTCCTATTTTATTTTGCTGGGTAAAATACATACATAAAACTAAAAAAAAAATAAAAAAATATGTTGCACAATTTCAGCTTAAAAATACCACTACCAGTTTTTACCAGCTGTAAGCTCCTCCTGCATAGTTTACATTGCGCATATAGAATTTTGCTTTTTCACAAATATTTTTTTTTTTTTAACATTTTTTTCCTCCTTCAACAGGTATGCGCGCTGTTAAGTCCGTACTGTTGGCATCTGCTTCACTTCGTCGTCTTTATTCAAATTTGCCTGAAGCACAAATTGTATTGCGCGCCATTGTTGATGTGAATTTGCCTAAATTCTTGGAACAGGACGTTTCGCTCTTCATTGGTATTTACATGGATTTATTCCCTGGTACCGAATTGCCCGAGGTAAGTTAGAGAGAGATTTTCAATACTAGAGTAAATATGTACTGTGCATGCTAAATATATATGTAATGGGGGAGGAGCATTTCCTCATCGGCTGCCAGAGAATGTTGAAATAAATATAGAAAATAATATTAGTATTGAACTTTTTTTTGTATAAATCATCGGAAAATTCATAGATCTATTCATGCAGAAACAGTTGTATGTGTTGTTGTATAGTGTCCAAATAAAGTGATCTTAAAAGCTCTTATAAACAGCTGCAGATTTTTTTTTTATTTCCGAATACGTAGAGAAGAAAGGTTTAAGAAAAAATATCTTTGACTTAAAATCTCTTTTAGTTTCCTCATTTAATTCAGTAGATGCTACAATGCTAGTTACTATTGGAGCTGATTTTCTTCGAATAGTTAAAGATGTGCTCCCAATTTTAGCAGTAATTTTCCCCTATACAATATTGTCGGATTTTTTTTTCTTCTTATTTCGAATTTGTGATATTCATCCATTTTATCTAAAGCTGAAACGCGAATAAATCACGTGGGAATTTGCAAATGTGCTTCCGACGGAACATTTTGATTTAAGCTCCACCTTATCTAGTTTTAAAAATGATATCTCAGGTAAAGGCTTAAGATCTACCCTTTTTTAGTAGATCCCATACCAACTTCAATGAAATTCTATCTTTATATTCTGTAGTCTTGCTAATTTTCTAGAGAGATGATTCCCGCAATCCATTGTTATACGTATATCAACTCTCTTTAATTTAACACGAGATAACTTTCTTTCTTCTCGGCTCTCGATTCTTGAAACTATATTCAGATCTCTGTATATTTCCGTAAACATAACTGAGTGGCTCATCTAGGAAACGGGGCCGAGGTATACAAACGACAGTTTCCGAAATTTGTTTGCCAGTAAATTTTTAGTTTCTATAAATTATATATACAGGGTTATCCATTTTGCCATTTCGAGATTCGACCTAAGAAAAATGAGCTTTGGCATTTTATATTTGAAACACTACATCACGAATTTTTGCAAACTTCGATCCTTTTGAAGTAATTTACGACCATGTTTTGGCACATATTGGATGGTGGTTAAGCCAATACTTGACAAGTGATGGGTTTTCTGGTGTTAAAGAGTTAAAAATTTATCCGCACGACCACGATCTTTCGATCTTTTTGTTACCAATTGCTTGAGTAGTTGCACTAATATATGTACCGTTATTTCCACTTAAAGCAGTAGGCGTGACCACGTTTGAATTAACATATTTGTAGCAGATCTCAACAATTTTAACGTGTTGTAGAGTTGTTAGGCGATCCATTTTCATAAATGCCAGAATTCTTTTTCTTAACCAAAACCACGAAATGGATAGCCCTTATTATATTTGTAGACCAAAATCCAAAGAATTGCCGTTAGCTGGCTATCAAAAATCTATGCAGAGTCATCTAAAATAAATCTGTAAAAGAAAGTAGTTTTTTGAGTATAATTTTTTTTTTTTTTTTTTTTTTTTGGAATAAAGAAGACTCGGGAAAATTTTGTGCGGATACTATCAAAATTACTATTAAAAAATGGTATTTCCATTTCACACTCACACTTCTGAAACCGCCGAAAGTCCTTTGTTAATAGTCTAATACTGAGAAAAATTTTTATCGGCTTGACTTCAAGTATATTCCAGTAAAAAATTTTAAAAAAATATTTTTTGAAGGTTCTAACTACACCTTACCTCCCTAGTTATTCCATCTGTGAGTCAAAATTTTTTTTGAAACGAACTGCCGTCTCTTCAAGGCTCTTACGTGGAAATATTATTAAATATATATTTTTTTAATCTCAAAATTTATTTTAGCCCAAGCGTGATGATATTTTAAAGTGGCTACACATAAATTTGAAAGAACAAAACTTACAGCCAACACCTTGGTTCATTGAAAAAATCCTGCAAATCTACGAAATGTTGCTTGTAAGGCATGGACTAATGATTGTTGGTGGACCAATGGGTGGTAAAACGACGGCTTATCAGGTAAGTGAAGACGACGAATTAATATATATATAGCTTAAATTATTTTTATTACTTATAAATATTTTATAGTTTAATGAATTCATCAACTCTTCCTACCCCTCACAGATGCTCGCACTCTCTCTGCGTTGCGTTAGTCTCGACCCGGAAGCCACACTGAAGGAGTATCCCGTCAATTATCGCATTATCAACCCAAAAGCTATTACCATGGGTCAACTCTATGGTCGCTTTGATCCCGTCTCACACGAATGGTATGATGGCGTATTGGCTAAAACTTATCGTGAAATGGCAACCGCATCGACAAGTGAACGTCATTGGGTCTTCTTTGATGGGCCTGTCGATGCTGTTTGGATTGAGAACTTAAATACCGTCTTAGATGATAACAAAAAGTTGTGTCTCATGTCGGGTGAAATTATACAAATGACGAAAACAATGAATATGATGTTTGAACCAGCTGATTTGGAGCAAGCTTCGCCGGCTACTGTTTCACGTTGTGGCATGATCTATATGGAACCGTCACAGTTGGGCTGGCGTACTTTCCATAAGAGTTTTTTGAATGTCTTAACTGAGACGATGGGTTTGAATGAGATCTATATGACATTGTTTGATGATATGGTGGAATGGTTAATACCCGCCGCTTTGGCTATACTCAAGGAATGCAAGCAAATGGTTGAGCCATCGCCGATGTATCAGTATAAGGTGGGTGTAATTGTGTTTAAAATATATTTGTTAAAATATTTTTATATGCAGTTTTTGTTAATATTTTAATTTATTATATTCAAACGTTATTTTTCCTCCTCAGATGTTTTCACGCTTCTTCATTCACTTTTTGGATAAACACAAAACATTCAATCAAGTTTGGTTCCAGCAAACATTTCTTTTCTGCTTTGCTTGGGCATATGGATCGGCTCTTACAGGTACTGCAATTTAATTTTAGTTACTTGTTAACAATAATCTCTCTGTTTTCAAATTAAATTTATTTTGATGTCTAAAGAAAATTGTTTCTTATAAGAAATTGATTAAATGTTCCATGATATATTAGAAATATATAACAAATTAAATGACCACTCTAACCTCGGTATACCATCATCTAATAGCTTTGTTTCGGCACAAGATCGAACCGCTCGTTAGATGTTTCAAGATCTCAGCGCCTGGGTAATAGTATGACTGTTTTACTAAGGTCAGATTACAATGGTTATAATACTAATATGAATTCAACGTCATAGATTAGTTAAGGTATACGTCTATAGTGTTGCCAGATAGTTTTCTTCTACATTAAATTATCTATAGTTCTTCTTCAGCAAGTAATATTAGCCTATGTCGGCCAAATACGCTCACAGATTACGTACTAACCTGCATACCCAGTACCCAGTACTTGTTGCCCTTTGTAAGTCGTCAATTGAAGTCCTGCGGCACAAACAGGCAATGCCTCGATAGTCGTAGGATTACTAGCAACAAAGAATCTAAATATACTCCAATAATACTCGTGTTTGTATTTTATATACCAGTCGATGGGTAGTTGCAGCATTATGCCCCTCATCAGCTACTTCATCGTCTTTTATGCTCAGCCTTAAAGGGTTAGACTAACATCGTGAATACTTCAGTAGAAAGTTTAACTGCAACGATTCCGGGTAATAAGATCCCTGAAGCGAAGAATATAGAAATCGCAGTGAAAGGCCACAAACTTTTGAGTTGTGTAAAACAAGCGAAGCAATCACTGGAATACTCTACCGAGCTTATCTGATGAATCAAGCCAAGGTCCAAAGTAAAAAAAACGCACTTAAATTTTCTCCAGACATAAAAGAATTATTCCTAATTAATAACACTTGACCGGGAAGTACTAATCCCCTAACCGTGTTAAGCAGACATTGCCCCGTCGGACTATCTTCTGCTTCCGTTTATGGCACTTGCTTTATCGGAGCATCTTCTCACAACATATAAAGATACCAAATATCGAGTAAACTTGGAGATAGCCTCAAAAGATGAGAAGTTCCTCAGATGTACGCTGTCTGAAACATGAGACAAAATAGCCACTATTGATGGACAATATTTCCATTATATGTAAACTACCTTTCTCTCGCAATAAATACAATTTTTTAGCAAAACACAGCGGAAACTTAATTGTACCCTTAATAATTTCCTTTGGCTGAGCCCAGGAAATCTAGGACGACAGCTTGGTCACCTATAGTCCACCTGAGTTCTAAGGATAGCTGCGAATACTCAAAAACCAGTCATTTACCAGGGTAATTGGAGAAGAGGTTTCGGCTTAAACGATCCGAATTGACCAAAGAATCTTCGATGACTAATTGAAAAAAAAAAAAAATAACAACCCTGGAGAATCTTTATGTCAAAGCACGTCGTCATAAAATTGGCCATACAGGTTCAGCTGAGATGAAGTCCTGATTCACGGCAGGCCATCTCTGAACACAAGCTTCCATAAAGGCTTATGTCGACAATCGTGATACATAGACTAGCTCGTTGTGCCTCGGGTGACAATAACACGTGCGGAGACAGCGGCTTGAAGCGGAAACTAAACAAAACACAAACAAATCTCTCAAGAGTAAGGAGAATGAACAGCTGCAGAAAGTAGAACACTCGAATTTAAACGAGTGCCAAGAGAAATGCGGCATTTTCCTCTAGAGAAACAGGAGGGTACTGAGGTCACCTGTACTCTAACTAACACCACTTTTTCAGGAAAGTGACAAGCCCTAGTAACTAAATGCAATCGACGGTGCGAACATCCCCAAATGCTGTAGCGAACATTACGATGCTGATAAAAGATCAAAACAGTTCAGAGGAATTTCAACTGCACACAGTTTATACTGAAATAGGAATTTGTAGGCAAAATGCATTATGCGCTTCTTTCCACCACAAGACTTACACTGGCTCGGAACTAATTCTTCGTCCATAATAATTACTTTGAGCTCAACTCCTTTATTAAGAAATATAATACGTCGGACAGTTCCTGCCAAATCGATCTCATTTTCTCTCCCTATATTTCTGTCTCTCTTTCTCTCTCCCCCTTTCTCACTGTCTCTTTCTCTGACTATCTCTGTCCCTCTCTCATGCTCTCTCTCCCTCTTACTCTCACATATAAAACACTGCAGACACTGGCTTATCGTATCGTTAAATGAAATTCATCAGTGATGTTGTCAAAATTACATAATCTACTGATAGAGCGGTAGTGGTTGTTTTTGGAGGAATAAAAAGCTATTACATCTAAGGAATAACAGCATTTAACTAAATAGAAGTTTTGCATTATAGTGGCTTTCCACTGTGTCTTTCAAAAGATTGTTGGGAAGCTTTATCAAAAACTTTAGAACAGAACTTTTCTTCGGAATAAACCTTCAAGTGAGAGAGGATACTCAAATATTTTGCGATTCTCTATTTATGTAGGGTGTTCCAAACTAATGCATGGTTGTAATGATTTTTATGTATTATTTTATATAATTCAATAAAAAAACATAGTCTGAAGACAAAAAGCTGTGTTTTTGTTTTAATAAAAATCTTGCGTTATTTCTGGGACACCCTGTATTTCAACAGTAAAATGGACTATTGGAAAAACTAAAACCTTTATTAAAAATTAGAAAAATAATTTAATCTTTTGCTCCAAAATATAACATGTCACAAACCACGTTAAATTGCATAAACTTTACCAAACCACACGCTAACTTTAACCCTTTATTATCTACTTCATAACAGTTAATGGTCAAAAACACTTCGACACGCTCATACGCAAAATACTCTACGGCAGCAATGAGGAGTATCCACGCCCCAAATACTTCTCGCTCAATCGTGGACAAATGTTTCCCGAAAAACTTTCACTTATGGACTATCGTTTCGATGAGGTGGAGAATTGGTGGACATGGCAAAAGTCCACAGATGATCCCACCGCACCGGCAAATGTCTTCCCCGAGCGTGCCATCATCAGTGAACTCATTGTGCCGACAAAGGAGTCCGGTCAAATTACCTATTGGCAAGAGTTTTGCATCAACAAATCCTATCCGATGCTGGTTATTGGGCCAACAGGCACTGGGAAGAGTGCTGTCATTATAAGCAATCTCAATGCTTTACCGAAGAATACAAATCTCGTCAACATTGTAAACTTTTCGGCACGCACAAGTGCACAGCTGGTGAGTAAAGGATTCTGGTGTGTGCTGTATGGGGGGGGGGGGGGATGAAAAGATGAGGGGAAGAAAAAACCAGGGAAAGCAGTGAGGAAGTGGGGAAGTTGGGAAGTGAGGAAGAGTTCCAGCAAAACTGGTTGTAAACACAGGAAATATGTGCACGTATGCTTGTTGTTGTAGTTGTTTTGATGTACCATTACCATATGCAGTATGCAGTATGTGCACAACATTTATTGCTAACGAAAAGTTGCTTAGAAATTGTTCAGTTATTACAGCAATTTCGGTAGCTCATTTGCCACTGCAATTGCTGAGATCCACTCAAATACCAAAATTGGCAGCAGCACGACACTATTTGGCATGCCATAAAAGCTCATAAGCAAATACCCAACTACATGTATTCATACAAATGTGTGTGTGTGTAGGCACAAAGTTGCTCCGCTTGAGGTAAGCAATAGAATTTGGAGCGACGAACAATGCGTTGGTGTTGTACAAGTGCCTACAAAACACAGTAAATATACATCCACACACACCCATACATACGCGTATATCTGCATAGATGGCACTTTAGCTAAGTTTGTCAAATTGTGTGTTTCTGCAACAGTTTATTTGAAATCCAAGCACCCGCATGGTCAAATGGCTGATCGGTGTTGCGCTGTCGTTGCTTCTTCTTCTCCTTCTTCTTCTGTCCTTACTTCTACTTCGACTGGTTGTTGTATTGTACTTTTGTGTGGTTACCATTCGAAATTGAGTTTGGCAACGAAGTAACCACAACGATATCTTCCTCAAACCGCCAACAACTTAACGACCAACAGCAGCAGCTCAAGCATCGGCAACAAAACAGCAACAGCGGCCATGAATTGAACTCTTGCATTGATGTGTGCTTCGAATTTTGGCCAACATACAAAATAGAGTTCATTCAACTACCTCTGCTACGACCCTGCTACACATATAAATACACACATATGCACTCCCCGCCGTTGGCTGGCTAATCGAACGGCGAAATGGCCAGTCATTCATTTTGATCTTAGTTTCCAAATTTGTTACTCCTCTTTCACTTTTCTCTTTTTTTTCTGGACTGGAGCCCTACATGTACTGTAGCGTGGGGTACATCGGTTTTGTTCTGAAAACGGTCGACAATTGAGCGATGAAAATGAAGCTGCGAAACAGGTTTTAGTAGTTCGAAGTTGATTGTGCCATCACCATTTAGATCTAATTCTCCTTTGTCAAAGAGCAAAGAGCGATGTATCATTGGATTCCAGCGGTCTGGCGCATTTACATGCAACATATTGATGTTGATCTAACCCTGCTGTAATGATCTACGTTGGTTAAACGAGATCACGTGTAACGTGACCAGACAGCTATGGTCGAAGTGGGACGCCAAAAAATCCAAACACCTCATGCTTCTGCACCGGTTCTCCATTAGCTTAGCGACGGGTATAATAAGTGGACACAGTTTAATGGGACTTCACGGCATTAGGACGGGCTTTTACTCTAATGATTTCTGCCACGGCTGTAGGAACGAAGAAAAAGGGGAGCCCTTCGAGCACTACCTCTGCTACTGTCCAGCCTTAAGTTTTTTGGGGAAACACGACTTCGACTGTCTCGCTGAGTTGGCCTCAGTGAACATTGGAAATCATGTCGCCTTTATAAGGCACACAAAATGGTTTGCACATTTGAGAAGTTGAAGGCAGAAGCCACAGCGATATCACAATGCGCCTATTAGCCTAAAGTGCTGGGGTTTGACCAGCAGCCGCATCAACTCAACTCAACTCAACCTTGCTGTCAGATGCTGAATATCTATTAAATGGTTGTTCTTAAGCTGCAAGCTGGCTGATCACATGATCCCTTCACGGGTAAACAGCAGTTGGTCAATGCCATTAAAGGAAGTCTTGAAGTCTTGAACTTTTTTACGAATAGCCTTTCGGCGACAGTTTTCTTTTAAGAATTATACATCTTTGGTTCGTTCAGGACACACGGCTTTGAAAAATGGTTTCCGTGAGAGAAAATTTCCTCAGATAGGCAATCGAATTCAATCACGGTGAGGTCTAAAAATGTGATACAAGACTTGTCAACAGTGTCTATGGCATCGATTAATTTCAGAACTGCCCCTGGAGAGGTGGACTTTCAATCAATTCAGTGAACGACGGTTTAAAAATTTCCAAAAAAAAAATATTTATGGAGAGTTATCTGGAAGCTGTGATGTGTGAATGGGTTTGTCTGATTTGCCCTCGCTAATGGCCAGACCCATGCGCTTCGCCTTCTTACTCAATTTAGGGGGAAGCAGCATTATCGGCGTTTGGTTGAGACCGAAAATTTCCATATAATGGGCTAACGACCGTTGTGTAGTAGTATTGATAGAGGAATATGAACGGAACCAGTCTTAACCTGCTTTCAAAGAGCTGACATTGTTTTCTTGGATGTATTTAACGTGGAAAAGTACTGATTGACTCATTCCATAATACATTTGCATTTTACTCTTAGTCTGATCGCACTTTATTAGGTTGGAACTCAAACATGATATACACCGAGGGTTGTGAATGCTGTTTGACGACATTCAAGGAAGATTATAAATATTAAGTTAATTGTAATCAAAGAATTAGACACTGCGTCTACTCTTGTTATTCCCAAAGGTTCTTGCTATGCTAAACCATGGCCATTTTCACGCCGCTGGTATCCTTAATCGTTTTTCGCTTTTTGTGTCGATTCCATATTAGGTTATGATTGCAATTCACATGAAAAAAGAAAGTCTTGATAAAAACTGTTCACATTGTTAAGTTTCGGATAGATTTTTAAGACTTAAAAAATTGCCATTTAATTTGTCCTCAATGTTTCCTATGACACAGAATTACGTTCCGAAGGCGAACATACCATTGAAATTTAATGTTCAGTGCCCAACCGTTTAGGATTCCCCCTTATATATTTTCTTTTAAGGTTATTATTTATATAGATTTTAAAATATCTGCTAATTATTCACAATATGACATTTACATTTACATTCACTCGCTGACCATTAGAGCTGTGAATAGCCGAGCGCTGTTGGCTTGCTTTATCGCTTCACTCTGCCAGCGCAGCGATTATGTAAATGAGTCTGCTGTGCTAAGCTAGCTTTCAAGCCGGCACAGAAAAATATAAATAAACAAAAAAATGAAACAAAACAAAACAAAAAGGTGTTTTAATTTTCATTATTCTAATTCTTTTGTAATTTAAATTTATATATCAAATACACATACATATATACTATATCGCTAACATACGAGTATTCAATAGCCTGCCGCTAGAATTAATTAATCTTCAAAGCAACCTATTTTTATCAGGTTTTTTTCTATATATACATACATAAAACTATACGATATTAGAAGCTACTAATACGCGTATGTACATATGTACGTTTGTTGTATAAATATTATTATATATATTTATATATGTAAGTAGGTATAAGTAGGACAATGCCAATATTCGCGTGCGCCCGCTTACGGTCAACTTACTCATTCGCTTGGGAATTAAATGCAAACTAAATATGTTTTTTAATAGCTGGTAGTGAAATAAAATAAGCAATAAGCAATAAGAATATATTATTGGACAGGTAGTAGGTATTAGAAGCGGCTAAATTATGCAAATTGGAATAATTTTTTAAAAAGAAATGTGATTTATACCATAGAAAGGCGAATCTAGAGCTGTTCTGTGCAAATGTCCATATATAATCATATATATGTACATATGTATTTAAATATCTGCTATATTGTCACATATGTACATTTGTATATTTTATATAGGTTACCTTTTGATCTTATGTGGCTTGTGTTAGCGATTTTTGGCTAATTTTTACAAATCTAACTATATAAACGTATGCGATTAGCATTTATTTGATTTTATCTAAAATTATCAAATCTTTCTTTTTGTTTGTTTATTTTTAATTTGATTAGAAGAATGATTTGCCATTTACGTGGCTTACAAGAGTCGGCAGTGGAAGTTTTAGCACAGCGTTGTCACAATATAATTTTAATTTTTAATAAAAATTTGAGTAAAAAAATGCTTTTCTCAAATACCGCAAACAATAGTTGCTGCTTTGTACAAGTGAGCAGAATAGTACGAGTTATCAATCTAAGGTTCAGAGGTGCAAAAAAAACTATAAAGATTAAACCTTGCATTTGGAGCTCTTCATTGAGCTCTTCTTATAGCTTCATACTAAGTCAAACGAAAATGTGTATGTATATATGAGGCAGATACCTTTGTAAATTTGTTTAACTAGATCACCGTCAGCGGATTATTAATACCCTATTAGTGTTGGTTGGCCGCGTTAGTTGAGTGGTTAGCATAGCGTACTACCATCTAGAAGATCAGAGTTCAAATCCGGCTATAACGAACATCCAAAAGTTACAGAAAATTACTTTAAATAAAAAACTAATTAAATTTTCCAATTGTGGTCACCTCTCGGCAGTGAATGCCAAGCTCCTCGAGTGCTATTTTGATATTAAATACCATCAGCCATTCGGAGTATAAACTGTAGGGCCCTCTATGCCCATTACATATACATATATTATATTATTTTAATGTTGGCTAATGTCTACTATATCGATCACCGGCCAGATACATAACTAAAACGCGAAAAATCTAAAAAAGTGGCGCTTGTAATGAATTGGCTTTCCAAACTTCTTCGTGCCTTCGAGTGCTCGAAACGAACTGTTGCCAATAGTTTCATTTGCGGCTGTATGGAGAGAGCTTGAAACGCCGTTTCACAGTTCTCTTATACAGAGCTGCTGATGAGTGCTTTCAGAGAGCAGGAGTGCAAATTGAGTAGGAAACTGGCTGGTGGGTGTCTATTGCGATTGCTGCCTTTTAGCATCCAACCTTCCTTGTGTATATTGACGGGCGTTCTTTGCTACTTTAATAGAATAGTACGTGTCTATCTTAGCCTCTCGGGCTGTACGCTCATCCAGAAAACAAAATATTATCACCCGTCTTTTAACCCGTTTGTGAAGGGTTCGTTCTGGAGGCATTCAAGTAGTTTCATAAATTTCTTTTCCGTACCGAAATCTGTTGAACAGACAACCACATTTCGGATCCCGGTCTCAACTAATTTAAGGACGCTTGTTGTATTCATTTTTATATTTCCCACGCTTCCAAAAAGCATATTCATTGACAACATCCTTCTCTTTTAGCAGAGCTCGTGATTTTATGGTTCATCGTTCATGCAACGTGGATGAATATCAGAACTCGACGACCGAGTCAATCTTCAACCACAAATCCAACGACAAGTTTGTACTTGTATATATGACCGCTGTAGTACATCTCACAGAATCCAGTAGTTCTTGTCCATTTCCGGTCATTTCTGTTCTTGTAAGGCAGTGATGTCAGTCAGTCAACTAGAGCTTTAGTACAATCTAAATCTCTTGATTCAAGTATTCTCTTGTAAAATTGAAAAAAAAAATTGTGTTAAGCAAAAGGGCTCCGACTTAAATCTTGGCATTAATGATATATATACATATATCCCTCCAGGAGAAAACCAACTAGTATGCTACTGGTTAAATACTAGTATGTTGAAGATAAAATTATACCAGTTTGTTATATGTAAAGAAGTCTACCAGTAAAGAAGTCCACCACTGTTTTTTGTTGTTATATCAGCAGACCGCGGCTGCTCTGTTCTATTGAAGTGCGCAAAATGACGTTGATCATTACATCGTCATGATAGCAGAGTGGTTTGAGGTTATCGCTGTTGCTCGTTAAGCCCTGATTCGAGTTCCGCCAGAGGCAAATCAGTATTTAAATTTAAACTTATTTAATATTTGGTGAAACGGAAATTTTTGCCTCCTCGTCATTCGTAGATTGATTTTGTTTTAGTATGAAAAAATCCGTTGAAGCGCGCAGATTTAGCTCGTCCATATATCATAATGATAGTCTGTTGGTCAGAGGTCTTCACTGCGGTGTGTGATGGTCTCGGTTTGATTCTCGCAGCGGGCAAACAGAAATTTATTTAATTTATCTATTTTTTTGTGAAGTAGAAATTCAACACATGCCCAAATGAACTAGTATAAAACTAGTATAAAGCTGATGCGTAATAGAACAATTGTCAGTTTGGAAGACATCGCCGTGTTAAAAGTACCAGTTGCTTACATGCAAAATGTATGAAGATGAAATGTAAAGTAGTTGAATTCTAGTTGACAACAAGTATTTTCCTCTGCAGGGATACTATCCATTTAACGGCTAATTATACCCTTATGACAACATACTTTGCTTTTATTTGTAACTTTTTAACTTTTGTAAATTCCATTAAAGTCAATGATGTTTGTATGCATTTCACATTTTACATTTCACAGGTACAAGAAACCATCATGTCAAAATTGGATCGGCGACGAAAAGGCGTTTACGGTCCACCGCTGGGCAAAAGGGTAATAAATATGCGCATGCACACATACATAGTTACAATATATACTTGTATTGTACAAATAGCTTTATAGCAAAAAATTATTAATTTACATGGATTCACTTTATTTTAATTATATATGTACATGCATGTATATGTATATGTACACATGTATATATTTATAACGATGCAACACGTTAACTTTTAATGTTGTTGATGTTGATGCTGTTGCTGTTGTTGCTGTTCGTTTATTTACAGTGTTTAATATTTTGCGATGATGTCGCCATGCCATCAAAGGACACATACGGCTCACAGCCGCCACTCGAATTGCTGCGACAATGGTTGGATCATGGTTACTGGTCTGATTTGGTCGATACAACAAAAATTGAACTGGTCGATATGGTAAGTTGGCAGCGTATTGGGGTAAGTTGGGGTGTAGTGCACGTGCACGGGGGGGGGGGGGGAATAAATGTGTTGGGGTGTTGGCTGAAACTGTTTATATTGGTGACTTTTTAACAGCACAAGCCATGGAGTGTTGTATAACCAAAAAAAAAAATGCAAAAAAATTAAAAAAATAAAGAAGTTAAAAAATAAAATTAAATATACGCATACGCATCGACATGTTTGCATATGCAGGCTTGCATACTTGAGAGATGTTACAAGCAAAAATGATGTAAGTCTTACTACTAAGATTTGGCAAAAAATTATTAGCCAAATGTCAGGCTTTGTTGATTTGTTCCGAGTTAAATATATTTATATATTATATCAGGTAAAGTAAAAAGTTCGTTCGGTTTTTTATTGATTTTTCAAAATATGATAACTTCGTGTACACTTGTCAGATTTATGTCAAATATGCGCCGTTTTGTTTGTAAACTTGTTGCCAACGAGAGCCCTCTCGTAGAAGGCTGCGTCCCTCTGGGCAAAAAACCTCGAAGAGCCTATTTTCACAAGCCTTTCTTGAGGTCAACTTCTCACCATTAAGCGCATTCGCCATGGACAGGAAAAGATGGTAATCACTTGGTGCCAGGTCCGGACTATAAGGTGGGTCCATTACGACCTCCCATCCGAGCTCCTGGAGCTTCTGGCACGTCACCAAAGACATGTGTGGCCTGGCGTTGTCCTGATGGAACACAATTCGGCCTCTGTTGAGTACTGCCGTCAGGCGGTTCATTTTTTGGCAGTAGAGGACCGAATTGAGTGTTTGGCCATAGGGAAGCAGCTCGTAGTAGATAATTCCTTGCAAATCCCACCAAACATCCCAAGTTTTCGAAGCTTCTAGCGAGTCACTATCCATGTGTGTGGTCTGGCGTTGTCCTAATAAAACACAATAACTCTCAAGTTAGCCAAGGCTAGATGTTTTTGGGCGGTGCTGCCAGTACAGGTCCGAATTAATAGTTTGGCCGTAGGGTAGCAATTCATAATGCATGATTCACCTTCAAACATACATGGATACCTTCGTTTTTGCTTGACTTTGCTCTAAGTGATATGCTTTTCCTCACCAGTCACTATCCGCTTCAGAGATGGAACGAAATTGTTTCACTTCTCCAGCGATCCGTAAGTGGAAATTCGGTCCATGGGTTTTTTTTCTTTGACTCATTTGACAACCGAGCTTCTTTGGGTATTCAGCCTTTTTTAATTGCTTCCAGGCTTTTTTTTATGGACAATGGTTAGCTCCTGGACAATCGAAACAGTGCTCGCCTGATGATCAGACTCAACGAACTCTCATATTTTATGGGCATTTTAGACAATTGACCTTACACGCCATGCAAAATCTTTTATATAACAACTACCGGAACGACCCATAAAAACCATTCACTTTATCAGCTGCCTGACTTGCGTTTTCACCTTCATCAAAAAAAAAAAAAATTGTAGAATATCAAAAATTATCTAGTTGCTGGTGTCCATATTTGTTCTTCTCTCAAACACAACTCAGTGAAGTGAACAACACTACTCTTATTGTCTTTTCTACTACAAAATATCGTCTTTTTAATGCCATAAAGCATTATGCAATCGCACTGACAGAACACGAGTTACAGACCATACAGTGCCAAAATAATGGATTACTTTTTACTTGACCAATGATATGTATATGTGTGTATGATTTGCACTTTATAACCGCTGTAATGATTCTCGGCCGTGCTACTTCTCCAATTTTTGTTGTGTGTACTGATGTTTTCCAACAAATGGAGAGACCTGTAGTTTATACTATATTTATGGGGATCATTTCTATTTGATGTCAAAAATGCAACATTCTCTGTCGGGGGCCCACAGCAATTAGAAAAGTTAACTCTATTTATTTATTTTTTTTTATGTAAATTTGGAATAGTGGTCGGACCAGGACTCAAAGCCCTTCGCAATTTTTTATTATAATTATTTAGTATGAAAATTGATACAGAAATACTTAAAAAGAATAAAAAAAAGTGTAGAAAGCGTTAGAGTGTGGGAAGGATTGTTTCTGAATTATAAAATCTACCATTTTCCAAACGGTATGGTGTGGATTTTTGTCTTAATTTTTTAATTTTTTTTTTAAGTGCTGCCCTTTTTTGTGTAAAATTTCAACTAGAATTTGAATTTAATAAAATTCCTTTTGAATTAAAAGTTTGTCATATCTTCCATACATTTCTAAACTGCACTTACATCACTTTCATATGTAGAAATATAATATATTGCGCACGTATGGGTGTATGTCGCCGCATATGCAGGTGTAAACACCTACGCTGGATTGTAAGTGGCATAACAGATATATCGGTTCGTAAACAAAATGCACTCGGCCACGTAGCTGTTCGACGTGTTTTAAGTTGATTGCTTAAATTTTAACCCTCTCGCCCACAAAAAAAAATAAAATAAAAATAAATAAATACTACTAAAAGGGGAGAGGAGGCGGTGGAAGAAATATATTGGAAAAACTGCCACATGAATGCGAAAGGGTTTCCATTTAATTAAGTGTGAGGACCTTTGATGACCCTACTGCGTCCGTGCAGGACGAAAGTTGTTTGCTGTGAAATTGAGCGCAACAGAGTTGCCAAAAAAAATACAGTTATATTTTTTTCACATATACATATGCGATTGCGTATGCATACATTTGTTTATATGTGTGTGGTGCATCAACCAAAGTGCGGGTGGCGTTCAAAATAAAATTAAAAAATTTAAAAACTGTAAGCAAAAAAAAAAAAACTTGCCAATGTTGAACGCGTGTTCGGCAGCAATGTTGTATAACATTAAAAAATTACAACAATTTTGTAATATTTAAAAGTTTTTTGTACGCAAAAAAAGGCACACAAAACAAAGCGTAGGATACAAAGGCACTTACCCACACCCACACATAAATACATGCCAACCATACATACCTACATTACCACTCAAACCTTAATTGGCTATGCAGACGCTTAAAGATACACATACATACCAAAATGTTTATATACTTATTTATGTATATATGCACTTTGGGGGGCATTTCCGCATATTTGGACTGACTCTTTGGTGTTCGCTGGCTGAGCGCGGTTTGCTGCCCACACGGCCGCACAGCCAAATCAGCCAACCACCAAATTGCCGCACATATTGCAAAAGTTTGCATTCCAGCGTCGGTGTTGTTGTTGCTTTTGAAATTTTTACATTTTATTGTTTTCATTTAACTTTAACTTTTTTGCACTTTTTTATTTTAATTTTAATTATTTTTTTTCTTTTCTGCTTGTTGTTGTCGGACTTTTCGCTTTAACGTTTTATTTATTGTTTTTATGTATGTAAAAATGAAAATAAATTTTTAATTTTTTTTTATACTGTTACAAGAATACCAAAAGCTGCAAAAAAACAACTCAAAAATTAAAATAATAAAAGCACAGAAAAAAGTTCCCAAAGCGCAAACAACAATAAAAACAAATGTGCCTTGTTCGTGTGTTGTTTGTTTGGTCATTGGCATTGTTTTTTGTCTTATTTATTTTTTTGTTTATTTTCATATAATATTTATTTATGCAGAGCTTCCTCGGCGCCATGGGTGTACCAGGTGGCAGTAACTTTATCTTCCCACGCTTCTATCGGCACACATTCCTCGTCAGCGTGGACTCGTTCGAAGACTCGACTATCATTAAAATATTTACAGCAATTGGTGATTGGCATTTCTCCAAGGATTATCCGGAAAAGGTGGCGTTGTTATCTCGGGTGAGTAGTGGCATACTTAGAGAGCACATAATTATACTTGTAGCAGAAATGGGGAAGAGAAGAGAATTGAGACCGTAAAACGGGATATAATTTATGCATTATATTATGCAATTCAAAGCGTGCTAATTAATGTGATGTGATATTTTTGAGATTTCATGTGAAGTGAAGCGATATGAGTGATGTGATTACATGAAAGATGAGGTGATGTGAATCGAGTTACTGTATTATGGTATGTGAAATTATTTGATGTGGCATGATGTGTTGTGACAATTAGTGACATAACTAAATTTGAGACGATGTAATGCGACTTAATGTTACGTGTCGCAATATGAAGTGATGCTATTGAATATGACATGATGCGATGTGATTATATTTGAGGTGATGTGATGAGACTCGATGTGATATGTCTAAATATCACATGAAGTTATGGCATTTATTTAATATACATATTGTATATGACCTGATGTGCTATGGACGGTGCGATGTATAACAATCTAATGTGATATAATTTATATAAGTTGAGGCGATACTGGTGTTGTTATTCGATGTAATGATGTGACTGACAGTGACGCATAGTAGCAATATGAAGTGATGTTATTGAATGTGATCTGATGCGATGTGATGTGATTTGATATGATGGGATGCAGGTCATTGTGATGTGTTGAAAACATCAGCGTTAACTTATGTCACTATTATGATGCGAAGTGCTGCAGTGATTCAAAGTAATGCGATTGATATGAAATGATGAAAAAATATATGTTTTGATTTGTAGGTTGTGACAGCAAAAATTATATGATATGATTTTTTATATTGTACGTATATTGTTTGATGTAGTTCAATATGATGCTATAAAATGCGAGGTGATGTCATAGAATAGGGCAGGGTGTCATATAATGTGACGTGATGTCATATAAAGAGACCTGATCAAATATGACGTGATGTCATATACTGTGACCAGATGAAAAATTACGTGATGTCATATAATGTGACCTGATGAAATATGACGTGATGTCATATAATATGACCTAAGTGATATCATATAATGTGATCTTATCCAATATGACGTGTTGTTATATAAAGTGATGTGATATAATATGGCGTGTTTTCATATGATATGGTCTTTTAAAGTATGATATGATATGGCACATGATTTGAAGTGACGAAATTTCACGAAATGTCATATGGTGTGATGTGTTGAAATAGACTTGCTATCATATGATTTAAAGCGATGCAAGATAATACATACTAAGAAGAAATATCATGTTGTACGAATTTCAGCATATTGTATATATTTTCGAATTTTTGTATATATTTCAAACAAACAGATTTAATAGCTTTCCAATACATTCATGTGCTCGAAGTAGAATTAAATTTTATTTCTTTTAATTAAAATTATTTTCTCTTATTTGATTTCAGGGTCTCGCCGAAGCAATGGTCAATGTTTATCGACAAGCTTTGAGAGTTTTCCTACCAACACCGGCGAAATCTCATTATACATTCTCACTACGTGACATCACACGCGTCTTTCAGGGCATTGTCCTCGTGCCGGCCAAAAGGTTGCAGGAAGTTGAGAAGCTTGGCCGTTTGTGGGCACATGAAACGTATCGTGTGTTTTACGATCGGTTAGTATGAGCTCATTTTAATGATTCTTTTATTCACATAAGTGTACAGACCTACACGTTTGTAAATATATAAATACATTTACACAGTTATAGCAGATAAGTAACAGTATGATGTCAGACTCGTTTGCGGTGTCGGCTTTTTTCGCAGATTTTTCTTTTTTATTCATATTCTACTCGTTTTTATGCCTTCCATGAGCTAAAGTTACTTTTAGGGTTTTTTGTTGCTACATTCCCAGTTATGGCCATATCATGTGGTGATTACACTTATATGTAGTCTACTGGAGTGACATTAGCTTCACATGTACATATCTAAGAGTATGTATATGCATGTATGTATGGGTAAGTGCATGCATTTTTTAAACGCGCCCACAAATTGGGTTAAGCTTTTTTTTTAAGAAAGGTGACCACTAATTTTTTTCTTATTCTCTATTATTTTTCCCTTAAAAAGTTAGCTCTGCCAACTTATCATAAAAAATATATTGTAAATTTTATGTCCATAAAAGGGTTGAAGTAATTGCTGGCGAGTGTTGAAAGACAATAACAGTTTATGGGTCACATGGCTCCTTGATGAAGAAAAAATTAGTGTTGCGGATCTCAGTTATTAAAAAGCTATGAACATCAAATCTGGTAGGATATGTTTTGCTTTAGTCAGCCAGTAAGTCTACCCTTTGCTTTAAATGCTCCTAATTTGAAGGCGCAGACTCAGTACAGACTTTTTTTAAGGTATATGATTCCAACTAAAAGCCTTTCAACCTTAACTTATCAACGATAAATTGGAGTTGGCCAAAAGGAAGAGACTATTCATCACTTAGGTTCCTGGTCACAGACGTCTGACAGATGAACTTGTCAGGCAGAGATAGATATGATGTGTCTGAAATAATAGCGGTGGATTGGGAGCTTTCTGTTAAATTACTAACTTGGGTAGGTTCGTATATGCAAAAGGCATGGAGCCATCTGATGATAGACGTCAAGGAAAATTACCTACTCAGATTTCTAAGAAAAGCACAAGGCCTTCACAGACTTAAGCGTATTTTCGCTACTTCAACCTACCTATTGGCCATAGGGGTAGCACCATTAAGGTAATCTTAATATTATTTCACAGTATTATTCGATTTTATTAAAAAAGAGTTAGGAAAGACCAGACGATATTAATTGAAATTTTGGTATACAGGAAACAATTTGAAGTAATTTCAGAAATCTTGAGATGCAAGAAAGAAAATGCTTGTAAACTGAAGAGCTTTCTTCAATTAACCAACTAACTTTTCTTCTCCAAAGCTAATAACAATTTTGAAGGAAATCTTTTTAAACTTAAATCTTATCCCCATAATTTTTATGTGAAAAAAGGCATCAATCAATCAAAGGATCAAAGACTTACTACCAGAACTTCAACATTTCAAAAGACGAATCAATAAATATAGGAAATGCGCTGAATCGCAGGAAACTTCTTAGAAGATCACATTTTACGCGTCAGCAGATATGTTGATTGCCAGGCAGATAATCCATAAGAGCATTGTGGAGAACTAATTAGTCAATGCGATGTTCCATAGTGTCAAATAGACTGGTTAGATTGAGATAAAATGCAAGACCGCCCAGAACAGGTGTAATGGCAGTGAAAAATGCACACCTTACTTTTTTATATCACGCTCACAAAGAGGCTGACAAAGTAAAACCTACTGGCACCACAAGCAGTAGTAACAGTTGCCTATAAAAGAAGGGCAGAGAGGAAGGTAGGAGTGGGACGCTGGAGCATCTTCTATGTTTCACAAGTGATCTAAGACATATATGAGCTTCGCTGTTCAGAGGACTGGAGGATGTTTTATAACTGAATATCAAGCCCCCCTTCAACTCGGCAAAAAAGTGATTTCCACCCGAACTCATCCTTAAATTTTGGTATGTGCCTTGATGTTTTCCAACAAATGAAAGGACCTGTACTTTGGTCTGAGCTACCTCCGAACGGCCGATGAATTTGTATGAGACGACTAGACATTTCCTGACGAGGAGCGACCGAAATAAAAAAAATCATTTTCTTTAATTTTGGATGATGGTCGAAGCAGTACACGAACCCAGGTCTTCAGAGTAGCTGGTTGTAGTGCTAACCACTCGGCTATTGCGGCCGCTACGACTACTCTACCTGACATTATATTGAATCCCCAACTGGCACTACAGAGGGCCAACATGCCGGTATAACCCAACCTTACCAACCGCTTCAACTAATAATCTCCGTAAGCTCTTAATTCATATTTGATCCCCTTCACCTCTAAGCGTTGGTCAAAAGGAAGAAATATTTGGAAAAACTACCCTATAATTCTTATATATATTCCTGCAGAGAGCGAAATAAAACACCTTACATCCGCTAGCTGAGCTGTAACATCCTTCCTGCCAATAACGAATTCCCTGCCTACGTACTGTGTTTATTAGACCGATTTATTTCTGTGTATACCGTATTATTACGGTTACTTTACCAGTCATTGATATCGCAATTCAGTCAAATCATACAGCTGCAATGGCAATAAACCACAAAAAAAAAATCAAACTACATTTCCACGCCTTGCACAAAGTACCACGCACTGGCGCAGGCACAGGCAGCGGCACTGGGGTATTCTGCTTGCCGCTAGTTATACGCAAATTCAACATTTATTATTGTTATTGCTTCTGTTATCATCCTATTTACGTACATACATACATTCATACATACATCAATTTGCTTGCAGACTGATTGAGAAACGTGATCGTGACGCACTACTGGACATGATAAGCAACGCGTGCAAAACAAATATACGCTTCCCCCTGGAGCAGGCCTTCGCCGACCGCATGTCCGAGTCGGGTGGCAAAGTGAGCGATGATGTTTTGCGGAATTTATTTTACGGTAATTATTTGGAACCAGATGCGGATCCGAAAATTTACGATGAGGTCGAAAGTTATGATAAATTGGAAAAACTGATGCACTACTATCTGCGTGATTATAATACATTCTCACATACGCCAATGGATTTGGTTTTGTTTCGCTTCGCCATCGAGCATATATCGAGGTGAGTGGGAGAGAGGGAAGAGGGCAGTGTGAGTTGGGGAAAAGAGTGGACGACTATGAGCTATGAGCAGTCATAAAAGCACATGAAGGAAAACAATCACAGACAATGCTGTTCAATTTATGCAAATATGCATGTGTTCGCATGTCTGCGTGTGTACGTGTGTGTATTTTCCATATCAGCGGCGCCACAACAGCGCTGAGCTTGCGGCTGCGTACGTGGCGTATTTCATGCAACGCTAAGTTGCAGCCAACCAAGTGTGTGATTGCATGTGCAATATTTATAAATACACTCACACGCACACACACATGCGAACACATGCATAAACTCAAACACGCGCGCAACTGCAATATGCATGTCAACACAATATGGCAACTCTATTAATTTTATGTTTTTTGCGGTAACACACTGACGCTACCGCCGAACACTACCCGCATACACACACATACACAACACACAATACATATATATATATAGGTATACGAGTACATGTGTATATTGGTATGCACTTCAACCGCCGCGTCGTCACGCACAATACCACTACTTCGTCCGTCCGTACACACGTATGTCCATCGGTCCGTCGGTTTGTCTATACTTTTGCGCTTGCGTTCATGTGGTTTCCAACAAAACCGCCGAGCAACCAGTGTCCGTGTTGCACCGCTAGTCATCAAACCGACACAACACCGAAATTCACTTATCTCTTCAACTTCATGCCATGAAACGATTGCGTCAGGCCGTGCAATCGTACGCACAATTCACTCATTGCCATACTCGAAAACATACCCAGACACAAGCTCACACATTCAAATGCACATACACGAATGCATTTCCAATACTCATTTGTTGCATTTCATTTGATTCCATGCATTTACCGTTTTTCCTTTATCCCAACGGCATCATTTTATTGTGTCTCTACGCTGCAATTGTTACTGCTGCTGCCTTTGTTGCTGTTGCTGTTGCTGTTGCTGGGGCGTTTTGTATGTCCACCTTTGGGGGCCCCTACAGAGTCTCACGTGTTTTGCAAATGCCGCGTGGCAATATGTTGATGGTCGGTATGGGCGGTTCGGGACGTCGCAGCTCATGCAGATTGGCTGCCAGCATCGCTGATTGCCGACTGATGACGATTCAAGTGACAAAGACATATTCACAGACCGATTGGCGCGATGATCTGAAAAGGATACTGATGACAGCCAGTTTCAATATGAATCATACGGTATTTCTCTTTACCGATGCACAGGTGAGTTCAAACGAAATAAAGAAATAAAATGAAATTGAAATAAAATTAATTATCATACATAAAAATGGCGAAGGAGGAGAGGGATGTTTGTTTCTTTTTGTTTCTTTATGGAGCGTTCGAGGGAATGCAAGTTAAGAAAAGTTCAAGCAGCCTATATGAATGAAAATAAAGTTATTAAGAACCAGTTTCTGCGGGTTAACCTAAGCAGTAAACTATCAACAATTTTATATTCAATTGAATGGAAGCGTAACTAGGATTATCTGCTATGATTCTGTCCACGAGATTCTCTTAATAATCTTGAATTTTATTTCGGCCAAGCCGTTATCAAATCAGGTAAAACTGTAAATTGTTTTCAACATAAGGGTTTCTCATTGAGCGATATCGCATATCTGCTAAAAATTAATCGCATGTCTTGCTCTGAGAGTTCTTCTCACTCTCACTTGGATACAATATATCTATTCTGCATAATTCATTGAAATGACAATTGGCATGGCTCACGCTATGGAATTTCTCGGCTTTTACGCACGTAAATGCAAGGAAACTGATCCCTGACGCGCTTGCCTTGCAACAAAGCAACGTATGAGGCCATCTATCGGGTTATTTAATGAACCAAGCCAATCAAATATCTGCTCGGTGACGGATGGTTGTCTTCCGAAAATTTCTATGTATTAATCCAAAATATAGAAACGATTTTTTTCGAATAGATTGGTCCTAGATACTATTCCTGGAAACAAAAGTAAAAAATTTTAGGTAAATCGAACTATGAATTCAAAATTTCGAATGGCTCAATCCCAAGTCCTCTTCCCAATGTGACACCTAGATGTTATGTTATTCTCAGACCTACGGAATGTACACATAAAATTTCATTAAAATCAGTCAAGCCGTTTCGAAGGAGTCTCGTGTCTAACACTGTGACACGAGAATAGTTAATTGGCGCCTTGTAACCGCTGAAGCGATTTTTGGTCAAACTTACGCTCTAATTCGGCATGTTGTTGATGCTTTTCCAACATATGAAGAGACTTTTTGAGGAGCATCTTTTTATCATGCGAGAAATATGCTCGGATGGCTTGGCATTCCCCCTGTCGAAGAGCGACTACATTTAGAAGAATTATTTTCTATAATTATAGATACTGGTCGATACAGTACTCGAACACTGCACATCCAATTTATAAAAAATATCGCTAATCACTCAAATATTACTGCCGCGAATGGTTATAAGCCGTCTCCAAACGGAGGAACTTTTTTTCATGTCCGAAATACATTCCCTATCGAGAGGCGACTACAATTAAAAAATTTAATTTAATTTTTTATAAAATTAATTTTCCACAACTTTTAGATGTTGGCCGCACGGGAATTTGAACCTTAGCCTTCCGAATGGCAGAGCGCAATGCTCCCGGCTCTTATCTTCTTTGGCTGTAGCTGCCTTTTCTCAGGCGTTTCTTCGAGTTCTTAACTGGAATATTTATGGATATACGGTTAGGTAGGACTTCAAAGCTGCCTTTAATTCCACCAAATCGATGTACACTTATAGGGCATTGTAAATGTTAATTTGTTGTTGTATGAGCTAGATTTTATATGTATGGATGTTGATCGAGAAACAGCCACATACAAGTCTTCGCCCACACTTTCACTTATAGTAGTGATGTCAAAATACAGCGCTGTGATTTTGAAATCCCGAAATGGTTCAGCGAAACGTAGAAGGCTTCGGCTATACCCGCACTCTACAAGTCTTTGTTTGTGCTTAACTAACACGTTAGACCTAATCAAGAGTGATCAAGGCATAAGCTGGAATTTAGAATGGAGTTTTATTCTTCGTGATATTCGCCGCCTGATTGCGATTGCACCTTCAAAAGTCAGAACTAACATCTCTTGACTAACTCCTTGCAATGTAAGCCATCAGTTTCTCAGAGTGAACCCCAAACTTTGATGGCGCTGTCGTAATAAATATACCTCTTCCTTCTCAGGCAACTCCACTTGAGAAACGCTACACCAGTCTTCCAAGCTACTGAATCTAAAAAAAAATATTAATACTTCTAAAGAAAATGCTACAAACGTTTTCTGACGGTAGGGTCCGGCAAAGGCACGACAAAACAATATTTTTCCATATGACAAAGAGCACGTACAGTCAGCGAGACATACTTCCAAAGAATGTTTAGACTTATCTGTGCCTGTCATTGGCAGAACCAGCTTATAATTTTGTTTAGCAAAAAAGATGGGAAGACAACTGGAACTTATCTCCTCGTAAATTTACTACCAGAGAAAGTGTAAAATCGGCGGATATCACTTTGTCATATTTTTCGTTGTATATTGCCTCATTCGGATAACATATAAGTATGTATATATATATATATATATATATATTCTTTTATTTATTAATTTTTTTTGGCACAATAAGGACCTAATATTTAAATGTTCCTATGATCGGAAATTAAGATCTCAAGCGTTTGACGGATATATATCCTTTTTTAAATAATTTAATTATACATGAATCTAATAAAGTAAATGCTGCCCCGAAAATAGTATTATATATATTTTTTTACCTAATTGTTGCCACACTCACTCAGCTCAATGCATTTGGATTGATTGTATTGATTAGCTATGAGTTCATAAATCAAAGTACATTACAGTAATAAATGGTATTCAAGGCAACTATGGCCTAATGAGTAATTTATAATGTATAATATATATGTACATGTGTACATGTGTATAAATTTGTATACATATGTAAGTGCTTTTGTAGCCATGCTCATTCTCGGCCAAGCATATCATAATGTCCTATCGAAGCTCAATAACTTTATAACAAAACAAATTTTACTAACACACACGATAATCGATGCAGGACACATACATACACGTACGTGTATTACAACATATACAATAGTATTTGCTGACACAAATACGGTACACATACGCATATAAATTGCAAATATCACATTACTCCCAACCTTTATTGCATGCATAATACATTATACTGTCGGTATGTATATATGTATTTATGTATAGATGTAAGTAAGTAAATTGTGGCACAAAATTGTTATTATTATTATTGAGACAAACAAATATTTGATTTTGAGTGAATGCCAACCTATGTGCATACGACATACATTTATATGTATGTTTGATTTTGCCCCTTTCCCTTTCCCTTGTAAGATTAAATATAGTCGGTGTACACAACCACAACCACGTTTAATTACCAAAATAATAATTCACTTGTAAATGAGAAGTAAAAAGCTACTCGATTTTTTGTAAGTACGCTCGTATATGTTATGTGTTTCAACTACCTCAGAAGTGGACTAAAGTGAATTAAATAATTTAAAACTAAGGTCATAATTTTGACCAAAAAGTTGGACAGCAAAGTATAAACGTTATCAAGAGCTGGAACATTCTTACGGCACACTATGGAGCATTTGGCATTTGGACTTACACCGCAAATCATGTAAAGTTTAGCTCACGCAACAACAGAAGACAGTTGACCATTCCCATTACCGTGCATGCGAGGGGACTTACAAAAATTTTTTTTGTATTTATTAGTAGTTTTTGTACTTTTATATCTTCTCTACATAATCGCCGTTGATTTCAATGCGTTTCTCAAGCCTATAGATCCACTTCTGGAAACAGTCTTCAAAATCTTGCTTTTTAAGCTTATCTAGTTCAGCCTTAACCGTATTAATTGTTCACTCATTGCTACTAAAGACATTTCCTTTGAAATTTTTTTTGAATTTTTGGAAATAACCACTAATCACAAGGTGCTACATCTGAGCAATATGGGGCTAAATGTATATCTTCGATCTCAGAAATCGCAATAAATCTTCTCGTTATTTTAGCAGTGTGGGATGGCACGTTGTCAACTCCTGTTTCTTTCTGTTTTCAAACCTATATTTGAAAGCCTTTGAGAAGCACTCTTCGGCATGATAGTTTTCAGTCTTCGTCTGGTCCTTTTTCAGTGGAACAGCGGCTATGATTTTATATCGGGAGAGGTAAACTGACATCTTTACTTTTGCTGCTGATTTTTTTGTTTCGATTTTACGCTTGGGTTTGCTCCTGTTGGGTTTCCTACCATTGACTGCTGTTGGTTTCTGGATTGTACTAATTGAACCTAGATTTGTCACCAGTAACCAATTCCAATTTGTTTGGAAAAAATTGATCAAAATGCACTCGAGCCTATTTTTGGGCCTCATTCAAAATACGTGGTACCCATCGAGCAGATTTCTACCTGTATCCCAGATGATTACTTAATATTCGCGATACAGCCATGGTATTCAAGCCCAATTCATTGGTAATCGCTTTTTGTGTCAATCGTGGGTCTTCATAAATTTAACTTCACCAGACGTCGTCAGTGTAAGATTTTGGTGGACCATCTCGGGGCTCGTTCTCTACGGAAAAATGTCCGGACCAGAATCTCCGGGATCACTTAGAAATTGTTTTTGAAAACGGTGTAATCTTTCCATATGCAATTTGTCTTTCACTGAATATTTGTATTGGCTGTAAATTACGCCGAAGTCCGAAGAGTCAAATGGCGAATTTCTGTTTGCGTTGGTGGTGGAATTTCGTCTGACTTATCCTCAGCTAACTTGCGTTTTATCGTCTAAGACTAATAAAATAAAGATGATGCCACATGCTAGAAAATATGAATGAACATGGCTTTATTCAGAGAGAAGCAGCGTAAACTCTCGCCTCGACAATGTCAATTGGGACTACGCAAACGAACGTGTTTATGTGCATAAACAATTAACGCTTGAGCACTTGAAAAACAACGTTCGTCAGGTATTGGCCAAAAAGTGATTTCCTATAACCTCACATGGATCAAAGTTCGCAAAAGCTCTCAAGGCGTCCATTTAAATGATGTAGAGTTTCACCTAAGATTCAATTTTTTCTTATTTGAAAGTAAATTCATGAAAAATATTATTATATTGTTTTCGAGAATATCCTTTGATGTAAAAGCTCCCCACACCATTACAGCGTCTCTTTTGAAAGTAAAGAGGCAAACCAAGTGGCAGGGC